TCCCCCCCCCGGCCCGCCATTCTAGCAACTCTGCTAGCTACCGGACCCGTTCGCCTCTTGGAGCACGTACAAGGCTTACTCCTCCGCCGGTCTATCATCATTACCCCGGTCGCCCTAGTTCGAGTCACTACAGCCCCCGCAATACGCCTCTTCGCGAGCTCCCCCGCGGACCGTCTAATATGTTAGGGGGGAACATGATTGTCAAGAAGGAATAGGATGGACTTGATCGACAGCAACTCTGCTAGCAAGCAGAAGGAACCGGTCGAGTACAGAATTACGATCACATGAGAACGGGGTATGGTGACTTTTGGAGAATGGAGGGGAACTCCTCGATCTCGAGACACATTTACCCTGACTTCTATCCAAGAAGACCTAACAGGATATTGAAAACGGGTAGATATCCCGACTTTTATCCACCACTTCGGTTACGTCAGTTCATGTTTACGAGAAGGGTTTTGCGACATAGGCCACGGCATTTGGAGAAGGGGCGCATGGTCTTGGGAGCTTAAAATGGTTTTTTTCCCTGATGGGATTGCTTTCTTCCATACTATTCCAGGTATAGTCCGGCGAGATACCAAGCGGTTGGCTATTCATTCTGATGGTCTGTTATGTTTATGCTATCAGGGCGGTTTGTTTGTACGTATTGTCAGTATTCATTGCATCAGCTCGGGTTCATCGAAGGCAGAATGGCTACATTCGCTTACACAGGTAGATAAATAAAAAAAGGCGATGCTCTCCCCAACCATGGATTCCAATGTAGTGCTGAATTTAGACGCTGTCATTGCAAGTCCGCCCGTTGGTGATGAATTTGTGTGATCTGCCTCCGCTGTCCATCCCGCGGTTCCTGTGCGGCCTTGCACATCATGCCCATGTCCGTGATCACCACAGAAGCAGGGGATGTCGTTCACAGGCAATAGGGCAAACTCAATCAAGTTAGACTCTCGGATGGCCACGAGGGCCAAAATTCAAGACCGGGACAAACCCTGGTCGCCGCGGACCAAAGTGGACTAGAGTACGCCAAATTTAAAATTACATTGCTTGGTACCTGACGATCCCTGACGCTCTCCCCCAGGCACCCCTTCGGTTTCCCTCCAGTTCCTCTTCTCACTATCGCTCTGGTCGATGGCATCGCAATTTCTCTTTCCAAATCCTTCCATTTCTCACACAAAAGTCATTCATTCATTCGTTTTAAGCAGCAGCAGAAGCAGCACATCAGTGGGTTATTGGGCCTGCGTTTCGTTCGTTTAACATATCCTGTCCCTGATACATACCTTCCCTATCTCAACATCCATGCTCTGCTGGTTGTTCTGGCAGTGAGTTCCATTTGTCGAGTCGTCTTACGGTCCGGTCCGGTCGTCGTCAATTCGCGCAATCCGGTCAATCCATGGGCTCCCACTTATCAACGTGCGCCCCAAAAGGGGGCGAATATTACCACTGCGACTACTCCATTGCCGGCTTTCGTGACAATACGAGTACAGTAGCGGACGGCATTCCGGGCTTCACGAGTGTCGCACTCCAGGAGGAGTTGCTGTATCTGGAACCCGACCCGGATGTAGCAGGTATTGGGGTAAGTTTGATATACTCCTTTTTTACTCATTCAACCCCTTCTTCCTTCTTTTCTTTTAGGCAACATGACTTCTAGTTATTGTTGTGACTGTCATCGTTAATGTTGTCGTAACCTGACCCACCTTCATTCAACACATGATCGCTGAACAATGTATACCTACAACAGACCTTGGTCGGCTTCGGCATCTCCTTCGCCGCATCAACATTACTGGCGATAATCATCCACTCCTTCGAATGCCACGAGATCTTCGGCCAGGGTCGAAAGGGTGACCACGAGAAGCACTCGGCCAAGCACTGGTGGCACATCGCCGACACCATCCTGATCTCGTGGTCCGACCAGCAGCTCGTCCTGGGCATGGCCACCTCCATCGCCGCCCTCAAGACCTGGTGCTCCTTCTCGACCTACCACCTCAACCTCATCGGCCAGTGGCTCGTTTTGTGTTCCGTAACCCACGCCAACGCCCTGCTCGTCCACTGCAAGTATTTCCACCGCAAGCGCCTGCTTGCTGACGGGTTGCGCGTCATCACCATCTTGACCAACCTTATTTTGAGTGGAATGGTCTTTTTTGTCAGTCGATCTGTTGGAGGAAAAGGGATGCCCTCGGTCGCGGACCATACGCCCTTGCAGATCCTGCCGGCGCAGTGTTTCTTCAAGAACGCGATCCTCAGCCCGGGGCTCAAGTTGGTGGATGGCTACGACCAGTATTCTCATCCAAACGGACAGGCGCTGTTCTTGATGAGCTTGCTTATCTTGATCGCGGCGGGGTTATCAATGGCGGCGCATCGATGGCGCGGGAAGGGGGCGAGGAAAAGTCGGTGGTCGTGGGGGTTCAGGACGGCCATGTTGTTGGCGAATATCGGCGTGGGCTTTGCGTCGCTCGTGTCGTCGGTCGAGTTGAGGGATTGGATGCATGGGAACGGGTGGATGGAGGATGATTCGGAGTTGGAGTGGTCGTATGGGCAGTTTATCCCGGCGTTGTTGGGTCTGCTTGTTTTTGTGTCGGTGTTGGAGAATGTCTTTGGTAAGTTTCTTGTGCTTCACAACCCGCTCGTCCAGCCTATTGTCAGCTTGCTAACGTGTGCAATATCTAGATGAGCTTCCAGATAGGAAGAGCATGGACCAGCAGAGCTTGCTACAGCTGGGTCGCGATCAGCAGTTTGAGATGGATATGCGACGATTATCGGCCGAGTCAAAGATCGATTTCAAGACATCACAACTCCCACAGGCAATGGTTTCGCCGCTCGATCCACGACCGTTTGACCCGAACGAAGGGCGAAAATGGTGAGTGGGGGAATGCCGGCGACGGGACATGCGAAGGGCAGAATGCCGGTAGCCGAGAGGCCCCACCTGCTCCAAATTAGCATTTTCGGGGGAGTCCGTCAGGCGTCAGTCAGTTCAACGGCGGGGCCGTGAAGCGAATTTGAAGATTTACGAAAGTATTTGATACCTCTGGTTCTGTGATATCCCCATCAAACTCGGAGTTTGCCCGTCCTCTGGAATGTCACGCGGATATCTTCCAGGTTGTTTTCATTGAATTGCCTTTGTCGAGAAGGATGGAAAGAAGGGAAGAAGCAAGAAGGACCCTTATCCAGGGGAAAGTGGATTGATGCGCCGGGCAGTTATGCAAGGCACCGGCCAATCAACGATAACAGGATTTGCGGAAGCGGGTCTTTCTCCATTCTCCAAGGCTTTCTCTGGTTGCTCTCTGGAAACATTTTACCGATTTGCGATGACGTTGTGGCCTACGCAGGAGCAATAGACAATTTGTTCCTTCCAGAATTGTTGGCAAGAAGAACACACTTTTTTTCTATCCATTCTTCAACTGGAAACATGATCTTACGAACAGTGCCGTTGATGTTGTTCTGTTCCTCCTCAACGGCAGTCCTGAAAATGTTATTCAGTCTTCTCGCTTATAATGCAAAGATCTAAGCTGAACATTCAACATTAGGCAAGATGGCCGAGCGGTCTAAGGCGCCACGTTAAGGTTAACCCTTAATCCGAGTTAAACAACTCAGTTCCGTGGTCCGAAAGGGCGTGGGTTCGAATCCCACTCTTGTCAACAACCATCCTCTCCACCCAGCTCAGGTGGAGCCTCTCTTTTTCTCTCTTTCAACCTTTTTTCCCCGTTTTCGGGGGGACACTGAAATGATTGCTCATGTTTTGGAAGGTATAGATTGGCAGTTAGACGATTCCCAAAACAATAGTACAAAACGAGAACATCGTCCTTGTTTTGACTGAGCCTGTATGTACTCTTTTCTGGGAAGTCACCTGGCAGTGCATGGTTCTTGCCATTTCAACTTCAATGTTTTCCTGTCATGAACTGCTCATGCCTCTTTCCTTCTCCTTTCCATCCGTACCCGCGCTTTTCAAGTCGAACTGCTAATGAGCGCACTTGCTGTAGAGACTGGCATCTGATACAGATATTAGGTCAGAGCGAGTTTGTGAAAGAGGAAAGTGCTTGGTGCCTGGTTTCTGTATGTAAACGAACTCGATTCATTCGATCAACTGTTATTATAACTCGAATATTTACTCATCGATTGTTCCCGGAGAGCCCCTATGCGCAGCCTGGCTTCATTACTTGTTTGGAAGAGTGGAGGCCACGAAGAATGTGGCTGATCGGGCCGAGGAGAATAGGCGGGAGCCGACCACGAAGGGAACGATGCAGGAGGAGGTTAAGCAGGCGATGGAGAAACACACAAGCAACAAGCGGAACTCTGCCATGGGGGCCATGGAGAATACAATGGAACAGAACAAGAAGGACACCACAATCTATATGATGGTGATTGAAACGCACGGAAAGCCTCCAAGAGGCGTATTGTCTATTTCGATATCTCGAGGGATGCCTGGCCAAATTTGCCCCAGACAACCGTTACATGCTCAGATCCATATCAGTCCCACTCGGACACAGATACGTGGTCAGCAAAGCTGCTTTGAAAAAGCCAGAAGCGACAAGGAGGACAAATCGACCTACTGAGGGGAATTCAAGACCGGCAACGTGACCGAAATAGTATTGAACCATACGATACCAAAGGGGGTCACATTTATGGTATAGTCGACAGCTTTGTGGGGCTGTCTGCTTACCGTCAGAGATAGTTATAGTCCCCTGAGGATAGTGGACAGGAAGTCATTCCTAGATTTCTCGACAACACCAGGGTAGGTTCGAATAGGGCATAACTTGGGTATTGTACCATTAGCGACACTCAAATTCTACCAGCATGGGACGGGGTCAGAAATAGTAAATTTTAGAAGTAGTTACGCTTTTATCACAAGCGGCAATGAACCTAATACAAGCTAAAGGCCAACTGCTCACCCTTCGCCCACCTCTCCAAGTTCTCAATCTGTTGATCATACCACCCCGACAGCGTATCCTCCTCCACATATCCCATATGGGGCGTAAGCAGCACTCTGCTCCTCCCATCCTCTCCCCACTTGGTCGTCCGCCACTTGCTATCCAACGGCAGCGGCTCCAAGTTAAACACATCCAGCGCCGCGGCCCTGATCTTGCCCTGTTCACATACCTCCAGCAGGTCCTCCTCAACCACCAACGGTCCGCGCGACGTGTTCACAAAAATAGCCGTCTTCTTCATCAACTCCAAATCCTTCTTGGCGATCCCGCCCCTCGACCGATCCCCCAAGACCAAGTGCACGCTCACCACATCTGCCGTATTAAACAGCTCCTCCTTGCTCACCACCTTGAACGTCTTCTCGCCCGTCTTCTCGTCCTCCACCGGCAAGCCGGCCTGCTTAGCCTGCTCGTCCGCCTTCTCCTGCGTGAGGTTGCTGCTCCAGCAAATCACCTTCATACCGAAACCAACAATCATGATCTTGGCCACCGCCACGCCCAATCTGCCCAACCCCACGGTTCCAAGCGTCTTGCCCCGTAGGCTGACAGCGGGTACGGTCTGCCACCCGCCCGTCTTGACGGCCAGGTCGTCCTGGGCAATGTTGCGGGCGGCGGCGAGGATCATGGTCACGCAGTGCTCGGTGGTGCTGACGGAGCCGACGCTGCCCGGGTTGGACTTGTCGATGGCGCCGGCAACGGGGATGCCTCGCTCTTTGAAGGCGTCTAGGTCCAGCGCGAGGTTGCGGTTGCCGGTGGTGAGGAGGAGCTTGAGGTTGGGCAGGCGGGAGATGAGGTCGCGCGGGAAGGGAGTGCGTTCCCGCATTGTTGCTGTGATTTAGAATACGTGTCAATTGGCTGCACTGCGGTATGGTAGGTGGGTTTATGTAAGGGGCTTAAAGTTTAAAACATACAGATGACGGTGAAAGGCTCCAGCCTCTTGACGAGCTGATCCTTTACATCTTGAGTAGTGTCGGGGTGGTTGTACGGGCGAAGAGTGTCCTTGAAGAAGGAAACTTCGTACTTGGACGAGTCCAGAGCCTTGAACTTGGGCTCCGAGATGCCCTGGTAATCATCGAGGACAGCGACCTTTAGTGGAGAAGAAGAAGAAGACATTGTTGCAAAGAGTCTGGTGGAACCGCGCCTAAGAAGTAATGTGGGCAAGAGTGACATTCGATATATATCACACAGATCAGGGAGGGAAGATCTGATCTTTTTAGATCTAGAAATTCCTCGTGGCACGGTGATAAATCTCAAGTGTCAAATGGGATGAAATTGGGGACATCAAATGGAGACGAGACCGATGCAAACCGCCCACAACCCCCCGCGCCGCTGGTGATGCCGTCATCAGGATGGCCCCACTTGGAGCTCCATACCCCGCAACGCGTTCCGAACCGTCGGTAGTTTGGCACGGACACGGCCCCCACTTTACCCCTTGTCCGTCCCGTAGGTCCCGGCTCAACCCCGGATTTGGGTTCCTGGAGTCCCCCTTGTTGAAACATGCACATCCACATCGAGGTGGATGCTCTAGGGTAAACCTAAATGCGAAGATATCACGTCAATCAGTAGTATCCTCCAGACTGCGATCCAAGTCTGAAGTGCTTCGAGAGTGATGAGTATCAAGCATGGAAGCAGAGATAGCCGGGGCAATGCCGTCAAAGAGAGAGTGACCACGAACAACTGGGCATAACTCTGTGCCGAACCAGACTGAACAAACAAACACTTGAAGCTTTGTATATGCTATAAAATCACAGTTTGCTGGGCATCCTAGTGGCACCGTCCAGCCGAATTACCACACCGTTCAACATGACATTCTCAATCGCCTGCCTGGCCAGGGAAGCAAACTCCTCTGGCTGACCCGCTCGTGAAGGGAATTCCATAGCCTTCTTCAAGCCCGTCCTCACCTTGTCGCTCATCATGGCTGTCATGGCCGAGTCAAACATGCTCGGGGCAATGGTGACGACTCTGATTCCGAAACGGGACAGATCCCGAGCCATGGGCAGCGTCATGGCCGCCACAGCGCCCTTGGTGGCGGCATAGGACACCTGGCCCATCTGACCATCAAAGGCGGCCGAGCTGGCAACCATGATAATGACGCCGTGCTCACCGTCGCGACCGTAGGCGGGTGAGGAAGCGAGGGCAGGGAGGAACTGGCGAATGAGATCGAGGACACCGCGGAGGTTGATGGAGAGGACAAAGTCAATGGACGACAGTGAGAGGGGGTTCAGGGACTTGTCAAGCATCTGGTGAGTGTTAGTCTGAATTCTCCGTGGACACATCTTAGGGGTACCTACCAAGCCCGGACTTCCAACTCCGGCAGCGGGAATGATTCCACCGAGAGGCTTCTTAGTCTCTTTGATCCATTCCAGGGTCGACTTGACAACCGAAGCAATGCTCTCGGTGTCGGTCACGTCGCACTGAAAGAAGCGAATGGACGATCCAAGTTCCTTGACGAGAGCAGCTCCAGTTTCCTCATTCATGTCAAGGACAGCAGCATTACCGCCCGACTTGACGATGTCCCGGACGCAGGCACGGCCGAGGCCAGAAGCACTGGAAGCAGTTGTCAGTCAAAAGTCAAAAAGTGATGTCATCGCGTTTAAACGTACCCGCCCGAGACAACAAATGTCCTTCCGTCAATGATCATTTTCGAAATTCGTTATCAAACAAACACTATTCTTTGGGAAAGAAATAGTTCAAGTTACACGTCCAGCAAAAGTCATGATAATACGACAAGAGGATCCCAACTTAAACGGGCGGACAGTGGATGTGTCGGGAATCGGGATCATCCCCCGCGGCTTCCGTTTGGACCGACATCCACATGGAGTGCCTCGGCACGCTACAGGCGGTTCGTGTCAGTGCTTTTTCAGGGACCCTGGCCTGCGGTGCCAAACCGCACCCCACCCCCTGGGGCCTCGAGAGCTCGGTGGCCTGTGCGTTCCATTGGGCGAAATCCACCACAGCGGCAACACCTGAAGCAGGAGCAGCAACAGCGCATCACCCGATTCATGCCCGGCAAATTGTTGGCTGCAACCAAAAGACTGTGACGTTGGGTCCATTCAATCTTGCAGCATCCTGTCCCGAGAAAGCAACCCTCATATCCTACAGACCGACTTTTCGAAATTGTCGAGTGCTCTTCACCTTGAATAATTCAGCTGTCGCATCACAACAAACGACCACGACCTGGGATCACCTCAAACACCATATCGACCCCTGCCTGGCGTCCTCTTACTTCATTATCAAAGAGCCCAGGTCCCTTGCTGCCGCGATAAGCGTTTCCTAGACGTTGTGGAACTTTGTTTCTCGCCAGCCCCAGCGGCCGAACCGGGTGACAGCATATCCATGATTTAACGAGACATGAACAATTCGACCTACAAACCAGATACCGACGAATTTGACCATCTACGGCAGCAAATGCGCGCCGCTCAAATTCAAATTGCCCGACATATTCCTCGAATTTGAGAATCGAAGAAACACAGAAACAGATACGCCAAGGTCTGACCGACCACGTGAACGCCTCGAAAAACGACAAAGCTCGAATTCGTCATCGGAGATAGCAGCTCGTTAGCACACCTCGCCTTAAGAAACAACCGAGAACCAACCCATTGCGCATCATAGCTTTATCGACAGGCATAAAGCGTCCGCCGACAGCAAATCGAGAGACTTCAACAAGCCCGTATTCCCGATTACGCACAGGACCATCATTCACCATGACAAGACCTAGGCGGTCATCCGCTACGAGCGAGGAGAGCGCGGGGACTGGGAGAGAGCAGGTAATGAATCCGGGAATGGGATCGCGTGGGCAGCCCTATTCTAACAGAAATTTTTGGTACAGGAATTAGGGAGCATGTACGATTACCTCGCAAAGATCATTCTCCTAGGGCCAAGCGGGTCAGGAAAGTAAGCATCTCTAACCCAATTCCTCCCAACCCCGAGCCCTCTCTAACCTTTCAACCTTCCAGATCCTGCCTCCTCCATCGCTTCGTAAAAAGCGAATGGCGCGTCCTCTCCTCACAAACAATCGGCGTCGAATTCGCCTCCAAAATTATAAAAGTCGGCACCGGGGCCCGCCGAAAGCGCATCAAGCTACAACTCTGGGACACGGCCGGAACCGAACGCTTCCGCTCAGTATCACGCTCCTACTACCGCGGTGCTGCCGGCGCCGTGCTCTGCTACGACATCACATCCCACAACAGCTTCTCGAACCTCCAGCCCTTTCTCAACGACGCCCGCGCACTCGCCTCGCCAAACTTGAGTCTCATTTTGGTTGGGAACAAACTCGACCTAGCCTCCGGGGGCGGCCAACCAGACGAGGAGGACCTGCTCGGCCCGCTACCGCCACCAACACCAAGCAGTATCAGCGCGCATAGCATTCCGTATACGATTAGTAGTGTGCATACGGGGACGGGGAGCGCGAGCGTCAGCATGGCCGGGACGCCTTTGCAAGCGGGGAGTTACGCTTCGTCTACGACATCCACGATCCGCCCGGGAGATAGTACGGGGACGAGTTATGGGTATGGGCTGGGGTCACAACTACGAGCTACGGTGGCGCCTGATGGGCGAGAGGTTTCGGCTGTGGAGGCGAGTCGGTGGGCGAGCACGGTCAATGTACCGGTGACGATGGAGGTCAGCGCTTTTAGTGGTGAGGGTGTCGATGAGGTGTTTGGGAGACTGGCGAGGATGATTTTGACCAAGATTGAGTTGGGCGAGATCGACCCAGATGATCCGATGAGTGGCATTCAGTATGGCGATTACGGAGGCGGGTGGAGCGGTGGTGCGAGTGATGGAGCGAGTATCAAGAGCTCTATGACCGGGGACGAACAAGGCACAAGGAATAGGAGGCGCAAGCCAAGGCGAGGAGTTCAAGGGTTGAGGGAGTGGGAGGAGGTATTTACGCTCACTAGCGGCAGGAGGAGGAACAATGGTTGTTGTTGAGACCGCATAGGTCGTTGTTTTGGGTGTTATCTTTCTGGGAGAAGGCGTTTTCTTGCCTGCCTTACCTATGATACCAGATGTGTCTTGCTTTCTTTTTTTTTGCTGGTTTGAGCAAGTGGCACATTCCTCGTTTGGAAGACGAAGGGGGGTCATTGATGAGTAGGGAATTTTTGAAGGGTTGTTAGTTAGAACTGGCGTCGGCGGAGCGGTTTTTTCTTGGGGCCTTTGTTTTGCATAGCCTATCATGTATTTGTCTTATGAATTATGGCATCTTTTGTATCTCCATTTTTGGCGTTTACCAGACCTTGGTATTTGTACAAAGAATTAACACAGCTGTTTCTCAACCATGTACGGATCTCGATATCGGAATTTGTATTCCCGGAGTACGCCCATCCGCCTCAACCGGGATGGTGGTCCCTTTCGGGAACCGACAAAAACATAACTTTCGGTCTCCAATCTCATACACTACAACACGATATCCGCACCTGTGATATCGCATCTAATACCGTGCGAATTCCCACGCACGTACCCCCAATGTCAGACAAGGGCCGACTGCAACAATGAGGCTCCCGAAAGGGAAGGACTGGGGCTGATGATAAGTCGTCGATGTCGCTGAAGCTGCTGCTGGCCTGTTAGCCGCGCTCACAAGGTGGGGATTTTAGCCTAAGGGAGCGGAAGGTCTTCCTCCGCGCTTCAGGGGTCTATGGGCCAAGACTTGCCTCATGTCATCAGACTTTTTGGACTTTCTGGACAGTCTAGCCGTGTTGTTGTTGGAGACTTGATGTTTTGTTGAGTTTGAGAGATTACGATCAAGCCCTGATGATTATGGTGAAGAGTTGATACCTTCAGAGGAGCAAGTACGTGATATTTATTGGGTTGGTTGACAGTAATTTGCTGTTTAAAAGGCAACGATACGGAAGCAGTTTGTTTGACAGCTTACAAGGCATGCACATGTGAAGACAAAGCAGCAGCCGCGTTGCAGCAACAAGTCCCCGCTGTGCCTGCGTCAGCATATGTCCAGCACGATGGACGGATACGTACCTACCGCTTACAAGCGTCATGCTTGGTGGGGTGTTCCAGGGGTACTCTTGCAGCTTGCTGCAGCTGCCCATTGTTCCATTCGTTCCCCTCGGGATGTCTTCCCCCGCCATCAACTTCCAGAGCGAGAGCTTTGTGGGATGAGGGATCATGAGGATGGGGGGATGAGGTGGAAACTAACAGGTTATCGAGGTACTCAGGTACTTTGACGAGCTTGACTACCTCTACCAAGCAGTGGGCATACGAGTGTATGGTATCCTCGATTTAAATACGGGCAGACTGCCCTTCATTTTCTGAGCCAAGTGGTTCATCATCCATCCTCCTCCTCTTCAGCAGCTTCTTTCCCTCCATCAGTATCTTGTCGTCTCTGTCTCTATCTCTGGAAGCAGGACGCGAGATTGTTTGATACTCTTTCTCTTATACCACAACCCCCCACCAATCCCCTCGTTTACTTATCCACACCCTCTTCTACACCATGTCTCCCCGCTCCGTGATTCCCATCAACCAGAATTGGGAGTTCAGACAAGCCGACAAGGAACACAGCAAGTTCCTCCCTGTCGCCCAGTTTCCTACCAATGTCCACCTCGACCTCCTCCACCACGGCCTGATTCCCGACCCCTTTATCGGCAAGAACGAGCTCGACGTTCAGTGGATTGGCGAGGCCCAATGGACATACAAGACCAACTTCAAGGGGTCCGGCGTCCCCGAGAATGGCAAGGCCGTTCTGGCCTTTGACGGCCTTGACACCTTTGCCACTGTCAAGCTCAACGGCAGCACTATCCTTGAGACGGACAACATGTTCATTCCCGAGCGTGTTGACGTCACCTCTTTGCTGAAGGAGGACGACAACGAGCTTGTCATTGACTTTGATAGTGCGTACCTTAGAGGGTGGAAGCTGGTTGAGAAGTACCCTGATCACAAGTGGGGGTGCTGGAACGGTGATAATTCGAGATTGGCTGTGAGGAAAGCGCAGTATCACTGGGTTAGTTTGTCTCGGTCCCTAAAGCCCTTGTCTCGGAACGCTTTATACTGACTTTGTTGCTTATAGGGATGGGATTGGGGCCCGACTCTCCTTACCTGCGGTCCTTGGAGGCCGATCAACCTCGAGATCTTCGAGAGCAGACTAGCGGATCTAAATGTTGAGTCGACCGTTCCGGAGGACCTCAAGTCTGCCGATATCAATGTTACCGCAGAGGTTGAGGGCAAGGCAGACAAGGTGCGGTTCGATATTTCTCTTGACGGCAAGCAAGTTGCCTTGGAAACTGTCCAAGTCAGTTCCGGCAAGGCCACGGCCTCTTTCAACCTCGAGAATCCTTCGCTCTGGTACCCCATTCGATACGGCAAGCAGCCTCTTTACCAAGTCAACGCTACTCTCATCGCCGGTGACAGCGAGGAAGACTCGATGGAGAAGAGAATCGGCTTGCGCCGGGCCGAGCTTATTCAGCGCCCACTCAAAGACCAGCCCGGCAAGAGTTTCTTCTTCCAAGTCAACAACATTCCCCTCTACTGCGGCGGCAGCGACTGGATTCCTGCCGACAACTTCATCCCGCGGATCAGCAAGGAGAGATACTACGACTGGGTCAAGCTCGTGGCCGACGGCAACCAGTTCATGATCCGTGTCTGGGGCGGCGGCATCTACGAAGAGCAAGCCTTCTACGACGCCTGCGACGAGCTCGGCGTTCTCGTCTGGCAAGACTTCATGTTCGGGTGCGGCAACTACCCGGCCTGGCCCGAACTGCTCGAGTCCATCCAGCGCGAAGCCTACGAGAACGTCAAGCTCCTGCGCCACCACCCTTCCATCGTCATCTGGGCCGGCAACAACGAAGACTACCAGTACCAGGAAAGCGTCAGTCTGACGTACAAGTACGAGGACAAGAACGCCGACAACTGGCTCAAGACTGATTTCCCCGCCCGCTACATCTACGAGAAGATCCTGCCCGACGTCTGCTCCGAGCTTATCCCATCTACTTACTACCACCCCGGCTCGCCCTGGGGCGATGGCGTCGACACACACGATCCCACGGTCGGCGACATCCACCAGTGGAACGTGTGGCACGGCACGCAAGAAAAATGGCAGAACTTCGACAAGCTCGGCGGCCGCTTCGTTTCCGAATTCGGCATGCAAGCTTTCCCCAACGTCAAGACCATCGACGCCTACCTTCCCCAGGGCAAGAACGACCCGGACCGGTACCCGCAGTCGTCCACCGTAGACTTCCACAACAAAGCCGACGGACACGAGCGACGCATCGCGCTGTACCTGGTGGAAAACATGCGCTACGGCCCCGACCCGCTAGAGCAGTTCGTCTACGCCACGCAGCTCATGCAGGGCGAGTGTCTGGCCTCTGCCTACCGGCTCTGGAAGCGCCAGTGGAAGGGCCCCGGAAGGGAGTACTGCGGCGGTGCTTTAGTGTGGCAGATCAACGATTGCTGGCCGGTGACCTCCTGGAGTATTGCCGATTATTATCTCCGGCCCAAGATGGCTTACTTTACCGTTAAAAGAGAGATGGCGCCCGTGAGCATCGGTATCACGCGGACGGAACACCGCCACCCCAAAGACAGATACACCCGCGTCAACGTGGACGTGAGCACCAAGGTCGAGGTGTGGGGCAGCAACTTGACGCTCGAGGATCTCGAGGTGGATTGTCTCGTCAAGGCGTGGGACGTCGAGACAGGCGAGCAGACGTTCAACGAGATCGTTGCCAGCAAGATCACGCTGCCGGAGAACCGATCGACGGAGATTGATGCCCGAGAGGTGCCCGTTATTGCTGGCGTGCCCAAAGAGGACCAGCAGAAGCGCACGGTCGTGGCGGCGTATCTGATTCGAAGTGATAACGGAAAGCAGATTGCGAGGTACGTGAACTGGCCTGAGCCGCTCAAGTATCTGCATCTACATAAGCCGAAGGAGCTCAAGGTGGTGCTGTCGGAGGATGGCAACGCGGTGGAGATCAGCGCCGAGGTGCCGATCAAGGGTCTGGTGGTGGAGACTCCGGAGGATGATGAGGTGGTGTTTGAGGATAACTTGGTGGATATTGTGCCGAATGAGGTGGTGAGGATTGGAGTCAAGGGGGCGACCAAGGAGACAAAGCTCGAGGCTAGATATTTGGGAATGTTGTAGATGGGATAAACGTAAAGGGGAGGAAGATTTGACAAAAAGAGGTGGATGATGATGATACCTTAAATTTGGATTGTTTCATAGTGGTAGAAAGAGGAACAGTAGAATAGTGATTTCAATCAAATAGACTTCTTGCTTTCAGTATGTATGCCTATATGTGTGTATATCCAAGAATGACCCAAACCCAAACGCCATCGCCAAAACCAAAACCCCAAAAATCACGAAAAATTATTTCCTTCCCTATTTTTTTTTCCTTGTCTTCTCAGCTGCCTCAGCACTTAGCAGCAGCCAGAGCCACCGTTGGCCTTGGCCTCCTCAAGCTTCTTCTCATCAACGGAGGTATCAAGACCGCCCTCGACCTTCTCGTTAGGGCCAGCGATCAGGATCTTGATAACCTCACCCTCCTTAACCTTCTTGAACGCCTCCTCGGCATCCTTGAAAGCGACAACGCCGTTGACGAGCTTCTTGACGTCAACCTTGCCCTGCTCAACAAGCTGAATGGCAAGCTTATAATCGCCGGAGCCGTAGCGGAACGAGCCGCTGGCGGTGACCTCCTTGATGCAGAGCGCCATGATGGGGAAGGTGATGTTGTCCTTGCCCATGCCGCCCTGGACGTAGTGGCCGCCCTGGCGCACGACGTGGAGGGCCGCCTGGATCGAGGGCTCGGCGCCCGAGGCATCAATGACGGCGTCGGCACCCTCGCCGAGGTCGGCAGCCGCGATGATGTTGCGGGCGTTCTCCTCAGGCGAGACGCGCTGAGAGAGGTAAGTGTGGGTGGCGGCAAACGACTTGGCGAAGTCGAGCTTGGACTGGATGATGTCGACGGACACGACCTTGGAGGCGCCGTAGGCCTTGGCGACGGCAGCGCAGAGAAGGCCGACGGGGCCGGCGCCCATGACCACGACGGTCTGGCCGGGCTGGATCTTGGCCTGCTTGGTGATGTGGACGGCGACGGCGAGGGGCTCGATCAGGGCGCCCTCCTGGAGAGAGACGGTCTCGGGGAGCTTGTAGCAGAAGTCGGCGGGGGCGGTCCAGAAGCCCGTCAGGGTGCCGTCGTAAGGGGGGGTGGCGGCGAACTGCATGTCGGGGCAGAGGTTGTAGTGGCCCGAAAGGCACTGGACGCAGCGGCGGCAGGGGTAGCCGGGCTCGAGGGCGACGCGGTCACCGACGGAGAGGGTCTTGACGGCATCGCCGACGGCAACGATGGTACCGGCGGACTCGTGGCCGAGGACCATGGGGTCCTTCACGACGAAGTGGCCGATGGCGCCGTGGAGCCAGTAGTGGACATCGGAGCCGCAGATGCCGGTGTAGTTGATGGCGACGAGAACGTCATGGGGGGTTTTGATCTCGGGGACGGGCTTGTCCTGGAAGCAAACGTCGAGGGGCTTGTTGAGGACGAAGGAGAGGTTCTGTAGAAAGGGAGGGAGGTCAGTACTGGTTTGGGGAGGAGGCATTGGGTAAAATGACAACGGGGAAACTTACAGACTTGCCGTCGGTGGGCATTTTGAAGGTCTGTTTGGTGGTGATTAAGGGGGGAAAGGGGTATATCTGTGGTGTTGTTGATGATGGAGGGTGACTGAGGACAGCAGTTCAACGGAAAGAACAAGACGTGAAGGAGGATAGCTACGAGGAAGGAGAAGGAAGACGAGGGAGAGATGGAGGGAACAGGAACAGGTTAAATATGTCTGTTCTTAGTTGGAATCTTCTTTTACCCAAGATAGCTATGGGGTCCAGACTCCAGTCACAACGATTCCATGCCTTGCTGCCCTGTCTGGTCTGGCCGCCCCTCCTCCTTCTCCTCCTGGTTCATTCTTGGTGTGTTATGCCGCATCGAGGAAGAAGCTTGGATGGGTTGTCATACGCTAGTGCGGGGAGCTATGGCCGCCGTCATGGCAGCAGAGTCTCCAAAAAATGTCAAAGTTGTCATGTCAGGCGGGTACGCAGGGGCGGGGATTCGCTGCCCAGCAGTGCAGTGGACTTGAAGGTTGTCAAGATGCAGCAAGTGAAGAGCGATGCATGGAAGCAACAACCAAAGCTGTTGGAGTTGGGAGTGCCTTCCGTGCAGCACATTGGACGCCCAATTACGCCATGTCATTGAGAACGCTGTTTGTTAGTGACATTGCACAGACAGAAGCTTTCCCGGAGCTAGGGTGCCCTGCAGCGGTTTCACGGCCGAGCCAGAACCCCACGCTCTCCACGCAGCCGCATTCCCACAGTCCCATATTTCTCGACTTTATCCAACTCATTTAACCGTGCCAATCAGCGACGGAGCACCTGTCCGACGGTATCCGCTAGAAGGGCCGGGGATGGGCGAGACATGGGCCAGACAAGATGGCTCTGGCTGCGTCTGGGCAGGAATTAATATCAGGTGAGAAGCAGAAACTTTTTGACATCTCAGGGGAAAACTGATAAAATGATAAATAGGATGAATTGCTGATCTTCAGACCCGTCTCGGTCGCCGTAACCGCGCATTGCGCGACGCAAAGACGGGCTGCTGTTCCGAGAGACTGGAAGCCGGAAGGATCATGAAGGCATTGTGGGCTGATAGGGAAGAGAGGAACACGGTCTCGGTAGTGTCTGCTACTATAGCTCTGGGGATATGATGATATTGCGCACCATTGCCCAACGAGCTGGGCTTCAAGATATCGAGATAGCAGATGGGGGGTAACGGGGATGCAGGCCCTATATAACGCGGTGCGCATGATCTGCTGTACAACCACCAAAACTTTGCATCGTGAAGCTTGGCGGCGTCGGACCCAGACCGGACTTGTAAGGTGCTGGCGGCAGTTGGTGTTGGTAGCTATGGTGCAGGTGAAGATGTCTCTTTCTATCTCTTCTCGGGGATAGTTACACCGTAAAAGCGAGTGCACTTTCATCCCATCAAAGCTCACCCGTCAATGCATGGCGGATAGCTCGGGTAACTAAAAAATACAGACCGCCAGCAACACCATACGTGCATCAGATGAAAGCCATGCGAAAACAACAAATCTGCAAAAAAGAAGATTGACAAGGGCGAGATTCGAACTCGCGCCTATTTCTAGACCAGGAAACTCGTGAGAGCGAATTCAAGTGGACCTGAACCTGGCGCCTTAGACCGCTCGGCCACCTTGCCATCGATATCTTATTTTTATCGTGAAGTCGGCTTTTGAAGTTGGGGCTTGGCGATAAGGAGATGGTAGTGTACTGTAGCTTAAGTGGGGCTTAAGTGCTTTTTTGGCGGGGTTCGTTGACATTCAGTTGAGGATGCCAAGAAATGCGTCACTGACGTCTGTCGGTGTTCCAGGGCCGATCTTCGGCGCCTGTCTAGAGTTCCAACCGAATGGTAAGCCAAGCATCGCGAAACGGAACATCCCGTCATCTTTTTCTTAGCATTGTGATATTTCATCTGATTGTGAGTGAGTGATAAGGTGAGTTAGGATTGAATGCTAATTGATGGATTGAGAGTTGATATGGTGAATGGTCACTTACATCAGAGCAGGTAACATACAACTTCAGATTCGGATTATCATCGTTTCAATACCAACGGCCTGATGCACCATGTTCTGAGGCCGATAGCTTCAAGACTTCCCCTTGTCTCTCCTCTAAGGTCACTCACCATCACCAATTACTTCACATCAAAACGCACCATGGCATCCAACGCTAGGACATACAACGTAAGTCAAGTCAACCAGCCTTTTCTCCCTCCAATCGAAACTCGACACTCACCATCTCTCAGGACGCAATCGACGCGCTCAACTCCCTCCAAACCCCCTTCGCCGTCATCGAAGCCCGGCGCAAAGCCGGCATCCGCCCTGATGCACACTCGGTAAAGGAAATGCGTGCCTACCTGGCCCGCATCGGCTACTCCTCGCAAGACCTCGACCGTCTCAACATCGTTCACGTCGCCGGCACAAAGGGCAAGGGCAGCACCTGCGCCTTCGTCGACTCCATCCTCACACGTCACCAGCGGACACACCCGGGCATCCCAAAACGCATCGGACTCTTCACCTCCCCGCACCTGATCGCCGTCCGGGAACGCATCCGGATCGACTCCAAGCCCATCTCCGAGGAGCAGTTCGCCCGCTACTTCTTCGAGGTCTGGGACCGTCTTGAGACGTCAGAGGTGGCCCAGGATGAGGTTGCCTTGAAAAGCAAGCCCATCTACGCTCGCTACCTGACGCTGATGAGCTACCACGTTTACCTGTCCGAGGGCGTTGACGTGGCTATTTACGAGACAGGCATCGGCGGTGAATACGATGCCACCAACGTGGTGGACCGGCCCGTGGCTAGCGGTATCAGCACCCTTGGTATCGACCACGTTTATGTTCTGGGCGATACCGTCGACAAGATTGCGTGGCACAAGGCGGGGATTATGAAGACGGGCAGTCCGGCGTTTACCATTGACCAGGTCCCCTCGGCGGCGCAGGTGCTCAAGGATAGGGCGGTGGAAAAGGGTGTTGATCTCAAAGTCCTGCATGTTGATCCTAGACTTCAGGGAGTCAAGATCCGTCCTGATGCGGTGTTCCAAAAGAAGAACGCTACGCTGGCTATTGCGCTCGCTGAGACTGCTTTGAAGAAGCTGGATCCTTCTTTCAAGCCTGGTGCCGATAGCCTATCGCCAGAGTTCGTAGAGGGTCTGGAACAGGTCGTCTGGCGTGGCCGATGCGAGGTCAAGGAGGAGGATCAGGCAGCTTGGTATCTTGATGGCGCGCATACCGTTGACAGCCTGAAGGTGGCGGGGAGGTGGTTTGTCGAGGAGTGCGTCAAGAAGGGCAAGAGCGGTCCCAAGGTGCTCATTTTCAACCAGCAAGGCCGCTCTGAAGCCGTTGATTTCCTCGATGGGCTTTGCAACACTGTCAAGAATGCCGATCCGGAGGGAACGGGCTTTAGCCATGTTATTTTCTGCACAAACGTCACATATGCGAAGACTGGTTACAAGAAGGGTAAGTTTCCGTTTTCTTTTTTTTTGTTCCTTTTCTTCCGTGATCGGCTGATGCTAACTCGCAAACAGACTTTGTCAACCATCAGTATAACCCCAAAGACATTGAGAACATGACACAACAACGAGTCTTCGCAGAGAGGTGGTCAACCCTAGACCCATCCGCGAATGTCATGCTCATCCCCACCATCGAGGAGGCCATCAACAAGGCCAGGAGCCTGGTAGGAGACTCCACGGAAGGCGGCGACCAGAAAGTGCAGGCACTTATTACCGGCAGTCTTCACCTCGTCGGTGGCGCGCTCGGCATTCTGGAAAAAGCGGATGCTCTTTGATCAAGGGGTTTTATAATGGTTCGGCAGCAGCTTTCAACACTTTTTGTTTATAGATATCCCTCTCCCAGCTTTTATATGGCATGGTTATGTACAGGATCCGGCATTTTGCTTCGCAGCATCTCTTTTTGTCAACACAGCGAAACTTGGGCAAAAAAGTACAGGAATATAGAACAAAGCAGAGTAGGGCGGGTTAAAAGTAGAATAGCCAGAACTTTAATATTCAACATACTCAACCGTCTTGAGCACACCACCAAGAAGGTGGAAGCTTCCCGTCACCAGGAAATTACACGTCTTGCCCTCCTTGCGCGCCTGCTCCGCGATCTTTTGAACCTGTTCCATGGCCAGTTCTACAGCGTTGTAGACCGAAGTCTCAATTCCCGCACTAGCTTCGTGGACAATCTTCTGCCCCTTCAACTGCACCGCGAGATCTCTCTCCGGCTCGCCCTCCACCGGTGCCTTCTCTTCATTCCTCGTGAACACCGCATAACTGAACACCGGCGTCGCCCTCCCACTCTGCTTCTGCGCGGCTAAGAAGTGCCCTCAACAAAACCTCCGGGTCTCTATCCTGCTGGTTAAACACCAAGACATTGACCTCGTTTTCATCTCCCTTCACCTTGCCCGCAAACCACTGCCCAACACCCGCCAGACTGTCCTCCGTATGCGCTCCATCCACAAACCACCTCGTCCCCTTGGAATCCTCGAACGACTCATACCTCCCCTTCAGACTAGCCTCTTTCAACCCCTTCACAAACTCAACCGGGATATCATCCAACTTCCAGCCCTCCTCCCCAAAGGTCCCCTCAAACTTATGTCCAGTCTTTATCAAATGCTCCCTAGCCGCCGCCACCGCCAACGCCATGTTGTATTTCTGAAAAGGACCCTCCAGCCTCGCCCCTTCAAGGCCAACCCCCTTCCACTTCTCAACCTCTTTATCCTCCACCTCCACCAGCTTTCGGCTCCCTTCTCCGCCGTCCTATCCCTTAACACCTCCATCACTCCCCTCTGAGTCTCCCCATCAAGTCTCCTCGTAAAAGCCTTCACCCCCCTCCTGAAAATCCCGCTCTTATTCCACGCAATTTTTTCGACTGTATCCCCCAACATAGCCACATGATCGATCCCCAACTGCGTGACAACACTAGCCGTCACAGACTCCGGCGCCAAAAAGTTGGTGGAATCATACTCCCCGCCTATCCCGCACTCAATCACTGCTGACTTAACCCCCTCACGCACAAAAACGTGAAAAGCAAGTATGGTCAAGAACCGGAAATAAAAAGGCTTCGTTCCCGGCCCCTCATACTCGTCATCGCAAGAAACCGGGTCCTTGGCCTCGCGAGCTGCTTGTGACAAACGGTCCCACACCTCGAAAAAGTATTTTGCGAACTTTTCGCGCGAGATCGGGACGCAGTCGAGCTGGATGCGTTCGCGGACCGAGAGCACGTGGGGGGACGTGTAAGTCCCTACAGTGGGGCCAGAAGTAGAGGGATACTGGGAGATGATGGACGACACCAAAGCCGACACGGACCCTTTGCCTTTTGTGCCGGCTACGTGCACGCACTTTAGACCGGTGGCGGCGAGGGAGGAGGGGGTGTAGCCTGCGCGGGCGAGCCAGGAGAGCATCTCGGGGATGGCGAGGGAGTTGAGGTCTTTTTTGGGACCAGGCTTGTGTTGGGAGTCATCGTTGCCGAAGAGGTTGACGATTGTGCGGTTGGATTGGAGGTGGGCGAGACGTGAGAGGGCATCGTCGTAGGTGCGCTGCGGCGGCGGGGGGGAGGAAGAAGACGCCATTTTGGGGGTGGGGGTGGTTGTGTGGTAAGTGCGAATCTGAGGTTTGAAGGTGAATTGATGGGTTTTTGTTGTTGTTGGCTTGATCTGAGATAAAGATGCTCTTGTAATTGGGACAGAGAGTGAGTCGAATGATGAGGCAGAGCAGTGGTTGAGTGTATTCGGCCGAAAGCGGAAGCTGGAGAGTTGTCGCTGGTGGAGAGGTCGAAGTGAGGGTGAAATTCGGGGAGACATTTATGGTACATTCATCCGAAGATTTTGTGAAGTGAATGAGGCTCGGAGGCCATTGCAACTTTTATGTTTGGATGAGACTGAGGAAATTTCGTGAAGATCTTGTATGGTGTGCTTTGATACCGTCCCCGCCCCCATTGCAGAAGTTACCGTGGACAGCGCCGCAACTCGGAGCCCAAATTTCAGCATGGTAACAAAAATATGGGAAATTCCTAGATAGCATGTGCAAAGCCCTAGGGACATGGAGTATTTAAAAAACTCACTTAGCCATTGTTTCTTGAGCAAAATAAAGTGATTTTGGATAATCGAATGGAATCTATTCCCCCGCCATAAACTACACGAAAACAAAGTACTCACACGAATATAACCAGAAAAAAGCGCCTCTATTTTGTCTCGGATTGCCACTGTAAACTTACAGAGTCTCACAACAACAAAGGGAATTCGTGCTAAGCCTACTACTTCGTAACGAACAATCCTTTAATTTACTCCATCCTCAAGCTCTGCAGCCTGGCCTCTGTCTGAATAACCTCCAACGCCTGCTGAACCTCGAGCACCTTCCTGACCTCACCGAGCCAATCCCTGGAAAGGGTCTTGGCCCAGCCCTGGAGACCGTTTATCTCTCTCGCCGCATTGTCGAGATCGCCCTCCTCGAGGTAGGTCTGGGTGCGGGTAAGGATGCTCTCAACATCGTCGCCAGCGGCAAGACCCTCCTTCTTGAACATCAACTTGCTGAGGACGTAGCTGGAAGCGTGGCTGGCAACACCGGCATCCTCGGGGAGGAGAGAAGCCTTGCGAACCTCGGTAGCAACACGGCGGAAGCGGTCGATGAGCTCGGCGGAGGTGGAGATACCGCGCTGGTAAGCGGTGGGGTTGATGGAGGAAATAGCAGCATCAACGACCGGATCCTCGGCAGCAATCTCCTTCAAGGCAACGAGCTCCTTGATGAAGGGACGGGGGTGGTGAGCGTCCTGAAGGCTGGCACGGACGGCTTCGACAGCAACGTGGAGCTGCTGAGTGCGGAGGTTAGTATCGACAACCTCATTCCAGCCAGAGGTGAGCTTCTCAAGGTCGGCAACAGCCGAGGAAAGCTCGTTGAGCTTTCCAAGACGGCCATCACGCTCCTCCTCGACGTGCTTCTTGATGTCGTCGGTGAATTGGCGTTGGAGCTGGATAGCCTGCTCAAGGAGACGGTTGTTGAGCTTCTCCTCGGCAATCTGGCGCTCGCGGTCCTGGATCAGGTGGATCTTCTCGTCGTAGCTCTTCTTGAGGCGGATCATCTCCTCCTCAAACTCGCGACGCCAAGCAGCCTCCTGAGCGGCCATCGCCGACTCAACGCGGGAGACAAGCTCGTTGGCGGCCTTGTCGAAACCATCAACGCGAGCCTTGACCTGCTTAGAAGCCTCGGCCTCAACCTTGGCCTTCATCTCGTTGATCCTGCCGGCAACCTTGGAGAGCTCGTTCTTGGCCTTGCCGATGGTGGGAGCGTACTTCTCGTTGGCGTTGTCGTGGTTGATAACGGTGATGATGTCGTTCAGCATGTGGACAAGGTCCTGAACAATGGGATCAGTGGCACCGTTAACCTTCAGGGGGTCAATGGGCGAGGCAGGGGGCCAGCGAGAGGGCTCGTCAACCTCGGGAGCCTTGAAGGGCTTCTTCGCGGGGGCGGCAGCGGCAGCAGTGTCGGCGGGAGCAACAGCGGTAGCAGGATCGGCGACAGCAACGGCGACAGGAACGGGCTCGACCGGAGTAACGGTGGTGGTGGATTCGGCCTTGGGAAGCTCAGCAGTATCCTTGTTGGCACCAGCAACTACGGCGGGCTCAGACTTGGTGACGGCATCCTTGGCGGCAACGGCAGCCTTCTTGATAGAGCTAGACTGACGACCGGCAGGCTCGCCACCGTCGGCAACGCGCCACGAGGCACCACTCTGGGCAGGAACCTTGACCTGCTCACCGGAGTCGCGAGGACGACCGGTCACCCTGCTGACAACATCGGGGAAGCGCTTCTTGAAATCCAGCTCCTCCAAGTACAGAACAGCCTGCTCGCCATAGGGGATGTACTCGGTGAAGAAGTCGTGGAAGGCGTCGTTGATGCGCGAGTAGTAGACACCGCCACCAAAGGCGATGGCGCCAAGGATGGTGAGGGACAGGAGGAAGTTGCGCAGTCTGCGGAAGAAGCCCTTCTTCTTGCGGGGGGTAGGAAGAGTAGGAGGGACGACGGGCTCCTCGGCGACGGGGGGGATGACGGTAGCCTCGGGGGCGGGGGGCGTCAAGGGAGTGGTCTCGGGAGCGATGGTAGACGTGGGCTCGACCTGGGGCGACGCAGGAGGAGGAGTGGAGGGAGCAGTCAGGGTCTCGGAGGCCGGGAGGACGGCGGGCTGAGCGGGCTCAGGGACAACGGGCTTCTTGTCGTCGGCGAAGAAGCGCTATATGGGAGCAAAGTAGTTGGCGTTAGCTAGAGCTACTATGGTCGATGACAGAGGCAGGTAGGTAGGTAAGGTAGGCAGGTACTGAGTCAGGACTCGGGACGGGGCATGGTGTTTTTGAAGCTTCGCAGAGTATATATAGATGACCTCATACCTGACCGGACACGGCCGCACGGCGCACGACGGTTGCTTGCCATTGGCGGCCAGCAACAGCGGCAGAAGGCCTGCTGCCCAGCGCCCTCACGGATCGCAGTGATGTGCGCAACATGAGGGGGATGGTATGGGGCCTCGGGGCGCAATTGAGGATATGGGAAGGGCGGAGAGGGTGGTGGTTGAGTGTGCAGTGTAGTAGCGGAGATGTCCCGGGCCTGGAATTGCGAATTGGAGGCTCAGACGGGACGGACTGGGCTCGGAGGGTCTGAGCAAAAAAGAGCTCCCGGTCGGCAAAGTTCCGGGACGAGGCGGGCAGGCAAGAAAGAGTTGGCAGGCTAGGTCTAGCTTCTGACTGGCGTTGCACTTGCGCAGCTTCAACACAGTGTGCCGCTTAGGTTTCCTTGCTTCCATTTCTTGGCCTTGCTTGCGCTGTGATTTTGGGCTTGGCGGTCGTTGTATGGGCCACTTTCTAGCTCCAATGAATTAATCCTGGTCATTCTGCACGGGTGGCCCACCCATTGTGTTTCCGACAAGAGCTATGATGCACACTGTACGCAAATAAACATCAAGCCTGTGGTACTGACTGATATCTATCTCATTACCGATTCGTTTCAAGGTGCACAGGAGTAGGTAGACGCATAACTCTTTGTTGCCAGCAGAACATATAAATAGCCTTATAAATATCTTTCAAATTGCCCCGACGCTCGAAATAAAAACAATATCATAATTACCATTAACCACGCGCGCAACACCCCTCCTCCAGCAGGCTGTTGCCTCTATCTGCATACTGTACAACAGAAGGATGAACGAGCATGCAGCTGGACCTACCAGTATCATGAATCATGTCCATAGGGGCAGCTGATGTGCCTCATCAGTCCTTCGACCATGGAAGGGCACCCCGTCCAGAAAAGGAAAGAGGAACAAAACACCCATCGACCAGAGCCGGTACTGGAACGGAACGATATCATGCAGCCGCACGACAGTCCAGCCTCACATGAGAAACCCCAATCAACATCTCCCTTGACCTTCTCTTTGCGTGGGAAGGGACCCAGATCTGCCATTGCGCCGGTCATTCACGGATTGACCCTTCAACACCGGCACGCTCCCTCACTCCTCGTAGATGCATCGGGTATTTCTTCCATACGTGGCTCCCAAACTCCGAAACATTCCTCTTCATAAGATCAGCAAGCGCAAGGCCCTCCAACCTGGGTGTTGGCTGCCTCGGGCGCTAGACTGACACCGGGTCGTTGGCCAGGGCGAGCATGCCTCGGTCCAACTTGGTCGAGAGGCAGCTTCTTCGCAATCTCGGTGAACAGATTTTGCACGTTCTCGGCAGTCTTGGCAGAAGTCTCGAAGAAGAGAAGGCCGGCCTCCTTTGCGTAGGCCGCGGCATCGGCCGTCTGGATCGCACGCTTATCGGGTTGCTCCTGGACGAGATCCAACTTGTTACCGGCAAGGGCGATAATGATATTCTCGTTTGCTTGGCGCTGAAGTTCCTTGACCCATGACTTGGCCTTGTCCAGAGATGCCTAGAAGGGGGTTACGTCAGCTCATGTAGCCGGCACAAAGACAAGGACCCGAGTGGCCACATACCGCCTGTGTGATATCGTAAACAACTACCGCGCAGTTGGCATTCCTGTAGTACATGGGCGCTAGAGACTTGTAGCGCTCCTGGCCGGCGGTATCCCAGATCTCGAACTTGACCGTCGTGTTTTCGTCGAGGGAAATGGTCTGTGTTAGGAAAGCGGCGCCAATCGTGGATTCTCTGTACGAGTCGAACTGGTCCTGTACGGGGGTCAGTTTTCCGCTTCAACTTCATCAAGCGCCGAATAGGAGCTGGTGTACCTTGACGAAGCGCAAGACTATGGAGCTCTTTCCAACCGCCGATTCACCTGCATGCAGGTCAGCATCATTGTCCCCCTCTATGATTCCATCACTGTTACGAACCCAACAACACCAGCTTGAACTGGGCAAAGCGGTTTCCCATGCCAGGGCGCGCGCCGGGAGGTCCTCGAGTGGCCATTATGGACTGATGATGTGGTGGTGTGGTGACGTTGTTGATGTGTAGTCGGGAGATTAGACGGGGTTGCTGGAGAAGCGAGTTGCGGCGCTACCGGGGGACAGATTAATGGCGGGAGTGCGGGCGACACGAGGAGATAAAGGGCGAAGAGGTGTCAGGTGGTTGATTAGTCGTTTGCAGGTCGCCACTAAGAAGGCTGGACGGGAACGTGAGGCGCGAAGCAGCAAATTTTGGGTATCGGGTGGTCGTTGAAACAGAAAATCGAGGGAAACAGTTGTTGAGTTCAAAGTTGTTGAAGGTGACGGAGGGCGGGAGGAGCAGCAAGCCGCCGAAAGGAAGGCCAGGGAACAGTCGAGTGCCTGGTGCAGGTGGTGCAGAGGTGGATGGTGGACGGGATGACTGGGGTCCGCGGATGGATTCGCTTCAGGTTTGGTGTTCGTTTGATGGACAGGGCGGCCGGCCGTCGTTCCCTTCCCTTCTAATGACGGACGGGAAGGTCGCTGGAAGCAGTTTGGCTTCGGCAGCCTACCGCTGGAGCAGTCCACTGCCCGACGGGGAGTCCTCAGAAGGAGCATCCACAGCTGCAGGGCGGTGCAAGAAAATGGCACGTGCGTTCGGGCTATCTCTACACGTGATTGGACTGGGACAGAAAGGGTTGCGTCACCCCTTGACGATGACGGGCCTGACGGGGCAGGGACGGAGCTGAATCAAAAGCTGAGGCAGGCACTTTCGCTGATTTCGAGTTCCATCGAGCCCGATTCGAGGTCGAGGTTGATCTCTGGATGCTGCTCTCCAGCTGGCAGTGGCCATAAAACCGGGGAAGGCGCAGTGAGATTACCTTCCGCTAATAGACTAATAGACCCGCTACAAGGACCAGCAACAGCAAAGTTCCAGAGCTCAAGACCCTGTTAGGTCCACTACAGATCTAGTCCAGTACACTGTATTGAACCAACATAATCTCGGCCCATTTCATGACGAGGCCATCCCCAAGTCAACAGTTTGTGTCCCTTTTCATCCGACCATCCAGAACGTCCACGAACTGCTTCCCGTCGAGTCGCAGGCCATTGACGGCTTCTACAGTATTTGCAACAACGGAAACATCACACATTGCATCAACATGACGCTCCCCTTCCGGGACATCAACGTCCAGGCCGCCTCGGACTCGTACATCTTCACCTCGCCCTCGAGCCCCAATGCGCCGGCCTTGACAATCGACCGTCCGACTGGCGATATCCGTCTCAGCGATGCCTCCCTACTCGCCGGCAAGCGTGTTGCCCGCGTATCCAGCATCGCCGGTATTTTGGGTGTCGTCAGGTTGCGCCTAGGTGAGAGGACAACAAACCCCTGTTACTGTGATGTAACCCCTTGCCGTAGACTAACAACACTCCGCAGACAAGTACATCATCGTCATCACCAAGGCGCAACCCGTTGGCCGTCTCAGGGGCCATATGGTATACAAAGTTGTCGCGACCGAATTCCTTCCCCTCCGCGAACGCCAGATCCACGACCCCGATGAGGACAAGTTCCTGAACCTGCTCAAGGGCTTCATCAAGTCCGGGCCCATGTACTTTTCCTACTCGCTGGATATCACAAACACCAACCAGAGGCAAGCCCAACATGACCTCTCGACGCCTTTGTGGCAGCGCGCCGACGACCGTTTCTTCTGGAACCGATTCCTCCAGTCCGACCTGATTAACTTCCGAACAAAGGGTGGGAGGGGCTCTCCTGCTCCCCAGCCCGGTATCGACCCCTATATCCTTCCCGTCATCTTCGGCATGTTCGAGATTCACCCGACCACCTTTAAGGGCACCCCCATAACCATTGCTTTAATCACCCGTCGATCCCGACACCGCGCCGGTACCCGTTACTTTTCCCGAGGTATCGATGAGGAGGGCCATGCTTCCAACTACAATGAGACGGAGCAGATCGTGGTCTTGAACGACCGTGGTAGTGGCTTGGGTGGCTTCACTGGCAGCGGCGATATGCAGAGTGGAAAGCTCGGTGGAAGTGACGGCAAGGAGATGCAGGTCCTATCCTACGTGCAGACACGCGGCAGTGTTCCTGTCTACTGGGCCGAAGTCAATAACCTCAAGTATACCCCTACAATCCAGCTCAAGAGCACCGAGGCCGCTTTCCCCGCCGCCAAGGCGCATTTCGACGAGCAAATCCGTCTCTATGGCGACAACTATTTGGTAAACCTGGTCAACCAGAAGGGCCGCGAGACTCGCGTCAAGCTGGCTTACGAGCAGATGGTCGAGCGCCTCGTATCATCGCCCAAGGAGCGTGTCCAGTCCGACGCATTAACAGACGAGAAGTTCCACACCATCGAAACCGGCACCAAGCCCCAGACCGACTTCGACCGCCTTCACTACATCTACTTCGACTTCCACGCCGAGACCAAGGGTCTCCAGATGCACCGTGCTCAGCTCCTTATCGACAGGATGCACGAGGCCCTGATTGCCCAGCAATACTTCCGCGCCGTCGACTCTTCCGCCAGCCAGGTCAACGGCGGCCGTCTCGAAGTCCGCAACCTCCAGACGAGTGTGGTTCGCACCAATTGCATGGACTGCCTCGACCGCACCAATGTCGTGCAGTCTATGCTCGCGCGCTGGACGCTCGACAGGATGTTCATCGATCTGGGCCTCATGGCGCGTGGCTCCAACTTCAAGGAGGAGGACCCGGACTTCGAGTTCATATTCCGCAACATGTGGGCCGACAACGCCGACATTGTGTCCAACAGCTATGCCGGCACCGGCGCCATGAAGACGGATTTGACCAGGACGGGCAAGCGCACCAAGGCCGGCGCACTCGCCGACGCCAACATTGCCGTGACGAGATACTGCAAGAACAACTTCTTCGACGGCCCGAGGCAGGACGCCTTTGACCTGTTCCTGGGCGTCTACCAGCCCGGCGCAGCGAACATCGGTTCCCAGCTGGTCTTTGTCGACCGCAGGCCGGTGCTGATCCAGGCGATCCCCTACGTGGCGGCCTTCAGTCTGTTCTTCGTCTTTGTGGGCATGTGGACGCCCAGGCTGCCCGATAGTGCCGTGTGGCCGATGAGGTTATTCATCATTTTCTGGACAGCTGTTGCGGCGTGGTCGCTGACGTTCATCATCTCCAACGGCATGCTTTATGTAAGTTCATTCCGCATTCCTTACCATCATATCTTTAAGTCGTTGGATGTAACTAACATGACAAAAAATAGGTCAACTGGCCAAAGCTCGTTCCCCGCCCCTGGGCCTCGGAAGGGTACCACGAGACTATCTCCAAGGTTGTGCGCAAGGACAAGATCCTTGGGCCGTTGGTGGCTAAGCATGAGCGCGGCCTTAGCACGGCGCGGTACATCAATGCCGAGGAGGGTAAGAAGAGGATTGAGTAAAGTATTGTACCTAGTTCTGGAACACGGAAAAGCCTGGGCAGGGACAATCAATGGCGGCGGCATATAGGATAGACAACGTATTTTGATTACAGGTATATGGTGGTGGGTGGCTGGCGACGGGCCAATAGGAAACGTACGAACCATGAGCACGTTGCTTGCTCTGCTTTTTCTTTCTTTTGTTGTATCATTTTACCTAGTGTTTAGTTTTCTTCTTCCATTTACTTCGAGCTTTTAGAAGTTCTTTTTGTTTAAACTTCATAATTCGTAATACGTTTGGATTACACAAGCATTAACTACCATTGTTCGCAACACGGAGATGTGTGAATTATTGATATTAAGTATGCCTCATGGCAGTCTGTCGATACTATAGTACCCTTTCTGTACTCGAAATTTGTCCCAACGCCACACGATGCACGTTGCCTACGCCACACAATGCACGTTGCCTATGCCAAAAGACAAAAAGAAACAAAAAACTACTAGCGACTCAAACTTTCAAGTCCCAATATCACCCAAGGGACTCTTGCCGTTAAAGTGGATTGAGCCGCCTCTTGAGCTTCAGTTCAGACCGTTCCCCAACAGCACCGATATGCCCCTTCCAAATTACATAACCCCTCCACGTCCTTTTTCATCACCGCTTGCTCCTTCCTCCATCTTCACGCTCTCATATCCTCCTCCTCCACTCTCCTCAACGTGACTCCCTGCGTACTCTGCGTAATATTCGGGCCTGTCCCAATCCCCGTCAACGTCCTCACAAACCAATGGAACCACGTCTCCGTCTCCAACACCGTCTTCAACTCCTCCGCCCGTCTCTCCACGTCCGCCACCTGCATCTCAAATCTCCCCACCCCGTCCTCGACATCCTGCACTTTATCCACGAGCGCACCGATCTCGTACTCCAGCTTGGCGACCAAAACCTCCACGTCCTTGACGGCCTCGTTGAGCCTGTGCCGCTCCTCGCCCACAATCTCCTCACCGGAATGGCGGTTGCGCTGGTACGCGTCGCTGACGTGTAGGTAGAGTGATTGCAGTTCGTGCTGCTGGCGGGTGAACGTCTCGTCTAGGCTTTCGACTGAGGAGAGTTTGGAGGAGACCCAGGGCGAGAGATCGGATTGGAGGACCGCAAGGTGTGCGTAGAGGGAGCGGGCGAGCTCGGCTTGGGTTTCGAACAGGGCGCCGTCAGATAGCTGCTGGTGTGCCGCGTCCGATGGTAAAAGGCTGCTGATGTCGTAGACTTCGTCCCACCCTAGCACGGCATCCTCGGCTGCGCTGAAGGAGAGGCGACGGGAGTATTTGGCTTCGTTGGAGAGTTGGTCAATGTAGAGGCTGGGGGTGAAAACGTGGACGCTGTGTCGGCGCTGGAGTAGCGATATGGGGAGGTTGGTGGTTCGCTCGAGGGTTTGGATGGGTCCCAGAAGGTCGTTAGGATCTGGGACAGATTTGGTGATGATTGGAGCATCGAGACTTTTGGCTATTTCAGCGACCCCGGGTTCTGATCTTGTGACTTCAGTTTCTCTACGGCGTAAGCCTGAGGACTGTCTGATTACCGAAGGAGTTCCACTTGTGGTGCTGGCGATTGATAGTACGGGTGTAGAATCGTTGGGGTATCGTTCTTTGATTCCGTTCAGGTATTCTTCCGGCCTCAACCGCCATGTGAATGCTCGACCAACCGCCACTGGGCTTGTTAAAGCAGTAGATGACTGCGCCAAGCTTGCTATACTTGGGGCTAGGCTTATCGGTGCCGGTGCATTGGGAGCATCGTCTTTGGATGGCCGGTTGACGTGGCTTCGTAAACCCGTACCGACAGCATCTCTGATACGGCCGAGTCCTGAGCGGGCATCGCTCACCTTCCCAGCCACACTCTTGAAAACCGTTTTTCGTAAGGCGTCTTTGTCGGAAGGCCCTGAATTGATATCCATGGTACTCGCTGCAGACGCTGGCGGTGCTGAGTATGAGCCCATCAACTCCTCTGTCGCTTTTTCAACCTCTTGCTCCTCGTCTGCGGGCATCGACTGGGCCCTTCGACTTCCTGCCTGTGATAACACATCCTCTTTGACATCTTTCGCGCCAAATGGAGGTACCGTGTGGTCGTAATCGTTGAGCGTCCTTCTTGGTTTACCATGCCACAGCCACTTCGGTCGTTCGCCTGTTGTCAATTTGATGAACTTGTCCAGATCCAACGTCTCAATGTCGCCGATGTTCCCTTTGTCTCTGCCTCCCACCATCCCTATTACCAGTTCACCTCTCTTGCCTCCTATTTCTGCTACGGTGGACTTCACAGCCTTTTGAACGCCCCATCCCTCTCCAGCGGCGGCCTTGGCGGTTAACTGGTGAAGTTTAAGAAGGGTTTGCCGATCGAGGCGTCGTGTCCTTTCGAGTTTCTGCGATTTTTGGAACGCTCCAATACCCCTTTTCGTGCAGTCGACATCGAAGACATCCTTGGAAACGGGAGCATTGCAATAACTGAGGCGGTTCCTGGCACCTACCAGAGTTCCCAAAAGAGCAGCAACAGTAGTTGGTCCCAAAATCCCATCCGTCGGTTCAATGTTGAAGTATTCTGATCCGATGTCCGTCCACCAGCTGTTGATGGCTGCTTCAGTGACGTCACAAAGGAGTCCGTCAATGTACACCTGGTCAAGCAGTCCAAAGATAAATAATGCCACCTGACATAGTTTGACCAGCTCGACTACTGCGTCCTGAAAGGATATCTTCTCGGATATCTTGTAGAGCTGAGTAAACTTGGCCTGGGTAGCGGGCGTAGGGTCTGACAGGGTGAGACCCGAGCGTCCCGAACATCCCAAACGCTTCAGGTTCTCGTTGACGATGAAGACCCGCAGGTTGTGGCGTAAGTCACCGTCGGGAACGGGTATAACGGTTAAGGCGGATGGGAAGCTGCTGAGATTAGTGACCATGAGCTCGCCAAAGTCTGTGTCCTTGGGCCTAGCATGGTGTTGTTTTATTGCTTTGAAGTATGCTTCCAATCGTGGGGACCAGCCAATCTCTTCCTTTTGTGCTTCAAGGACGCCGACGACTATCGAGTGTTTTTTATCACCGGTGTAAGTGACGATGGCCAAAGCAGGTGATCGCCGAGAACAGGCCCATTGCTCAACCAAGTACAACTCGAAACCTTCGAGGACACGGCCTGTTTCGACCACAGTAACGGCAGGGTCCTCTCCGAGATATCTACATAGGTCTTGTTAGAAGCCAGTCACTGGTTCAGGGGCGTGCATGTCTTGGGGGTACGTACTTGAGCGCAACAGGATCCGGGAGCACTACCCGACGGCGTTCCGGAGGCGGAGGCGGAGACGCAGAGGGGTCTTTGGCAACAGGGGCAGCAGTCGTCGGGGCCATGGAGGAAGACACATTGATGTCAAGCAGAGCTGGCTGGGACTGTGAGATGGCATTTCGATGAGAGTTTGTCCTGGCCAAGGTAAGTTCTTCTTCTCGATGGACCCGAGCATCAAGGGCGGCTCCGGGGAAAACATCCGTAACGACATGACCACCGTCGTGGCCGTGCCGGCGATCGCTGGGTCTGGTCTGGGTCTCGATCCGGGGCGTTTAGGTTTGGGATTCCCCCTAGTCTACAGCCTAGCTCCCGGTCCTGGATCCAACTCTGGGTCCTTGGGAGCCCAACGGGGGTGTCCAACTCTGCGTGTCAATACGGGCGGTGGGCCATGTGTACATGCGCCGATCGAGGTGTGGACTACACGAGCTTCATCGTGGAGCCAGGATTTCCTTGCCGTCTTGTTGGGAACTCGAACTTCGCTTGAATGGCTTAGTTCTTGGCTGTTGGGGCGGTGAGGTGGCCCCGTTGTCTTTCACAATCTCGTCCGGATGGGTGATGAATGTGAGCAAACAGTCATGCTCTCCTTTCTGGTTCAACGGCACAGCTGATGATGGCGGCCGCTCGCGGATGGTTGCCAGGTACAACTTTGCTGGAGGTAAGTACTGTATGTTTTAACAAGCGGTTGGTGTATGCAAGCATGTATGTAAGGTCGCATGTGATGCGCTCACGGTATCGGATCGGACTGGAGTGTGCATCCAGGAGAGACATTGTAGTAAGTAAGGGACTCCATGCCATCCGGACGTAAAGGGCAAAGAAGACGGAAGCTTCCGTCAAATGTTCCCCAAATTCCAGGCCTCTCCTTCCCCTTCAAAGTCCCCGCCCGTCACTTCCTTGCGCAATCTATGCGCAATGAAAAACCACCCTGGTACCAGCTTTCGTCTTTCAGTTTTCCCTTCCAACTTTTCTTTGTTAGGAACTGCTTGCTGTTATGTCGTAATTCCTTAACATCCATGCAACTTGCGGACTGTCGTCGTATGAGGGTATGCGCGCACGAGCCATTCAATCCATTCTTGACCACTGTCCCTGCCCGCTGCAGCGGGAGCTCCTCCGTAAGGTGGGGTGCCTTAATGCCCTCTCACCAACGGTCCCGTCACTAACGAAACGTCACTGGCTGTGGGGCACAACACTTGCACTGTTGTGGTGTACACTGAGGTGCAATAACGACCACTTCTTCCTGCGAGTAAGGTGCGTACCTTCAGTTACACATCAATTCCGTGATCATATCATGTCCATCGACGACACTCTTTCAATTCTCACCTTCAACTTTGAATTAAACCACGGACCATACGTGTTACTTAAATCTTTATTCCCATCTCACCAGTCCTCGACCCACGCGAGACGGTTCCGAAATTTGATCTCGCCACCTTCCGCGTACACTAGATAATGCACGTCGTCTTCCCCTCACTAGGCCCTTGAATACTTGTAGCGCCGGTCCGACCAGCTTCCTTTCCATATCATCAAAACAACACACACCCGCCCAAATACCATGACGACACAAGTAACAACCATGGAGGCCCTTCAGAAGGAACTGGACCGGCTTAACCGGACACCAGCTCTGTCCGCGACGGTTGACAAGGTCGATAAGATCATTGAAATGCTCACCTCCGTAAAGGACCAGATTGTGCAAAGCGGTATGTTCTTTTTCGTCAGTTCACTCATTGTGCCTCAGGGCGGTCACTGACAGAGACACAGGCATGGACACGCACGTAGCCAGCATGGCCATCACGAAAACTCAGAACCCCATCAAATCAACTTTTGAAAAAATAAACGATGATCTTAAAGGCGTGACGGCAACTCAGAGAAAGTTGGGCAAAATGCTAGACAAACACTTCCCCCTCAAGGACCTACCATCAGAACACGACGCCATGGCCGACCAAGAACCGCTCATAAATCGTGCCATTTCTATGCATTTGCTGCGCGAGGGACAGTTCTCGGTGGCCTCCACTTTCATTGAAGAAACTGGAGACGCGGCAAGTCTTGAGCATGTTAACGCCGTAATCGAGGGCCAGGAGCAGGCGAATACGAGCGATAACTATGACGACGAACCAATGGACGAGGACGACGAGGACGACGAGGACCAAGACGAAGAAGAAGAAGAAGAAGAAGACGAAGACGAAGACGAAGACGAAGAAGAAGAAGAAGAAGACGAAGACGAGGTCATGAGCCCCCTCGAAGGCGTTTTGGCAACAGGTTCAGGCTTCCAACAGCTCCAAAGCCTCTCCTCTCTCCAATCCCACGAACTCGAAGCGAAATTCTCCCAAATGTACACGATACTGCAAGACATCAAATCAAAAAACCTACTATCCGCAATAGAATGGGCGCGCAGCAACTCGGTCGAGCTGGAAGCGCGCGGCAGCAACCTCGAGTTCGAACTCAGCCGTCTCCAATATGTCTGGCTGTTCAAGGGTCCCGCAGTCAACGGCCTCCCCGACAACGAGTTCAACGGAACAGCGGGAGCCCTTCTTTACGCACGACAAAACTTTTGGCGGTTCGGAAACCGCTACACCGGCGAGATCCAACAGCTCGCCAACGCGCAAATCTATGCCCCCAACCTCCCGGAGTCGCCCTACTGGAAAACCTTCGCGACGGAAACCGCCTTCGCGGACGTGGCGTCGTCCTTCACGCGCGAGTTCTGCAGCCTGCTCGGTCTCTCCGCCGAGTCCCCCTTGCACGTCGCCGTGACAGCTGGGGCGCTGGCTCTCCCACTTCTGATTAAATATCAACAAGCCACCCGGGCTAAGGGAACGGAATGGACAACGACCAACGAGCTGGCCTTCGAGACCCCGCTCCCCGAGCGCATGCTGTACCACTCCATCTTCGTCTGTCCCGTCTCCAAGGAGCAGACCACAGAAACGAACCCGCCCATGATGATCCCCTGCGGACACGTGCTGGCCAAGGAGACGCTGCAGAGGCTGCTGAAGGGAACGCGCTTCAAGTGTCCTTACTGCCCGGCCGAGGGGCTGGAGAAGGACGCCAGGCGCATCATGATTTAGAGATGCCATTCTGTCGATCTGGAGCAGTGGATACTTCCTGATAACAACAACGTTTTGGAGAGCCCTATGGATCCCATGCAAATGCTTTATGTCTAGGGATCTGGAGCTGCGGTGATTCCCGGTGAACGTGGATCGGTCAGTTATTATGGAAGCATCGAGCCGCCCGGGGAGTTGCCCGGGCAGTTAAGGGGAGGCTAGTTAGTGTCACGACGACAATGACATGGCTTCCCATCAAGCAGCGAGTTCTTTTTATTTCGCGGGGTTATTTCATCTGGGTGTTTTTTTTTGGTTTCCACAGTCAGCTTAGGATCAGCGGTCACGGTTATTTTTTATTCTCCCGCTATCGACGAGATGGATCAATGGATGGATGGGTCTTCTTAGACATACACACGCACGCATGCATGCATTAGTACTACCGCCACAGATTGTGTTAGGTCTTTGGCTAGAGTGACAGCTGCGCTAGCATGAGCTCAGTTTGGGACTCGTATCATATGGGTAGTTACTGGATTTGATTTTGATGGGTTAGGAAAGCGAAACCAAAGAGTTTGCTACACAGACGAGAATATCATGATCAATATGAAGGAATGAATAAATGAATGAATGAATGAATGAATATCAGCGGGAACATCTCTTTTAGGTAGTCGTTAGTGGCTTCCGTGCGGCCCTCATCTTACTTCTATATTTCTTAATCCAGCGTGTGCGTGGAGTGCTGTTACGGCTGCACCTGTCAGATCCTTTGTGTCAACCATCAGGGTTAGATCCTTAATCTTTAATCCCATCTGTTACTGCTTATACGAAATCTTCCCCACATATGTGTGGTCTAGATACCCCTTTTTTTCTTCCTCATCAAAGTTGATGTCCTATCACTTCCATCCGGACCTTTTTGACACGTCAGCCCCATAGTTCTACGGCTGTGACAGAGGGTACCTCTCGAAATTGGATGGGCAACGGTGATGCGATGGTAGTAGTAATAATTATGGGAGCAAGTGAATCGTACATATTTGGGTGGTAGAATGTGTCGAGAGTATATAGAGGTGACGCTATCGTCTCTTGATGATGATATAAGCCGAGCTAAACCAGGTACTTCATGAATCCTGTCCTTCTGTCTGTTACTCAGAAATCATTTTCAAGGGAAATTAATGCCCCTTTCATCGTTGCCATTTACCCTTGATATAATAGAAGGGCCAGCAGCTATGTTATACAACACACCGCCTCTGCTTCATATTCTCTACAAGCATTCGCAAACAGACCAAGCACACCATTATAGGCTCCCGTGTGAACAAGACGTCGAAATGAAAAAGAAGAAGAAAAAGTTGAACTGTAAAAAAAGAGGTGGGATGTGCGTTATCCATCCCAGGTATCCGCCAAACAAAGCTATAAAAAAAGTATCCTTTGATATCAAAAGCTGTCCGCAGAAACGCGCGCAAAATGATATTTGTTTCCCATCATCTCCTCCCAAAAACTATGTGCATTCATATCATGCCATATAGTAGATCCTCCACATGTTTCCCCTCCCATTTGATTAGGTCGTAAATGTCGTCAATTTGGTGATGGTCATGTCAGATAATCCGGCTCTGACGCAAACTCTATCGCCGCGCGAGAAACGGATCTAGAAGATCTTCAAAGAGTCCACATCCAACCTTTATGCTTCCTTTGTCGCCTCTCGCTTCGTCTCCGTCTTTGTATTTTTATTTCCTCCTCGCACCACTCAGTCGATCGTCATCCGTGTCGACAGCTGGGGTTTCTGATCCGTCATCTGGAAGGAGTTCATATCATCCTTTTCCGGGTCTCTGCCCTTGGGCTTGACCAAGTGCGTCTTGAGTCCGTTGTTGAAGTTGCTCATGCAAAGGAACGCATTGGCGATGGTGACGATAATCAGAACAATGGTCATGACGGCGAACGCGGTAAGGGAGCGCTTAACAGCCAAGTAATTCTGGCCACGAGCCTTCGAGTAGATGCGGACAAGCTTGAACAAGAAATAGGCAAGACCACCGAAGAAGAGCAGGATGACCCCGCACATGCCAATGCGGTTTTCGCGCTGGGTGAAATAGGCCGCGCAAAGCAGAATGACAATGGTAACGGGAATCGCGGCAGCGGTAAGGCCGAGTTCGATGTCTGTCTTGCCGGTTACAACAACCAGGAACTGAATCGTGAAGCCCAGGAAGAAGAAGAAATCAAATTTCAGCAATGCGATAAAAATCTAGCCATCGGGTGTTAACAAGTGGCATTCTGTTTCGCAGCAGGGTAAATGTGGTACGAACCTGATAGTGAAGAAATCGCTTCTTCATACGATAATCGGCCCCGATCTGCTTCAAAATATCCCACGCAAATTCCTGATAAAGTTGCCAGGCGCACACGCTCATGGCAATAGTGGCGACGCCGATGACAGGGGGGATGGTATAGAGAAAGGGCGCGCAGGACTTCCATACCGTTTGATGGACCGCCTCGTCCCGAAAAATGTCCTCATTGAGGCCTCGGAGCTTATCAATGGATCTGTCAATCTGGTCGATCTGGAGAATGGTATAGACGAAGAGAGCCAAGTTGGCAATGCACAGCCCAATGATTTGAATGGTGTTCTTCCAGCGCAAGGCATCCCACGTGAGAAATAGGACATAGAGGAAGCCGAAGATAAACAGAGCCAAGAACGTCGGTATCGTCATGTATTGCGCTTCTTGGGCCTCATCATTCCTGTTACGGGCGTCTGGGTTGATGCTGCCTTGAAATTTGCCGAAAATATACCTGTTGCCAGTCAGTTTTCAGCCACGACATAAGCGAAGAAACAAAAGGTCACCCACGCTTCGAAAGTCACACCAATGATGGCCTGTAAAGCGACGATGGAGAAGAAGATCTTTGCCCATCTAGACTCGAGAAAGTCGAATCCCCCTTTCTTGGGGCGTGAAGCGGCGTCTGAAGCCATGAAGCTGTCGCGGAATTGAGCAGCGTTGTCTGATCCGTCGAAACTGAGGATCGGGTGCGAACCGGCCAAATAGGACCGGCGAATCTCTAGGCGGCTAGCCAGGACGGGCGGATCTGACGACTCCCCGTACAGGAGCCGGACGGCGTGGACCTAAAATCCGAGAAGAGCTGTAAAATTCGAACGTGGAGCAGATGCTGTTGTGCGTTGTTTGCAGCAAGACGGGAGTCGAAAAGGGATCAAGTGTATCGTCGGGAACGGCTCAGTGGGGATGGCCAAATCTAGGGCCTCTTTGTCGTTGACACGGGACAAACGTTGCGGAGGGTCGGCGACGATGCGACAGGCGGGCGCGCCTCGGCCGGTGTTGTTTAGGGCGAGACGATTCAATAAGCGAATGGAAAGACGCAGTTGTCGACAACTTTGATGGGTTGCCGTCACTTTGTCAGGGGAATCGTACTTTGCAGGTTGGAGGCCGTGGCCGTTCTGAAACACAAAGAGGAGTTGTGTTGTGTTCGAGGGTGACAGGGAGTTCGTTTCCAACACACGCTTGAGGTTTCCTTCCAAAGGGCGGATTCTCCCGTAGGGGTGGTTTAAGGCCGAGCTATGCCCCAACAGGCGACGTGCGAGGCCAACGTGGTAGGGGGTCTTGGGGAGGCAAGGGGGGCATCAGCCGGGGCAGCGGATTGTCAAATCGAGTCGAGACGTTGGAGCTGGCGCGTCGGGTGAAAATCAGAATCTCCCGTCGATGAGCGCGTAATACCGATTCGACGGATGTTTCTTCGTTCTTAGGACAGGAGCGGTCGTATTCGAGTGGACAGTCTGTGATGGAGAGGGGACCGCGTGACAAGAAAAAGAAATGGAGAAACGAAGGACTATCGATCAAAGAGGAGAAACGAGTGACTAGGTTTGGGTGGGATGGCGGATATTATTGTACTGCGTTTGGAATGGCTGGCATTCGAGGTGTGTGTAGGATTGCTGTTGGAGGAGGGCGTGTGAGGGTAGGGGAACGGTCCATCAAAGGCTGGAAATCCGGGGTCTCGTTCTTTTTCGCCCGCAGTGCATGCAGCCCACAGAGTTTGTGGACACCCGCCCAGGCCAAGGGTGCATTCAGTGGGTGCAGTGGGCCGGTGGCAGACAGCCCGAGGCGGGAGTGGGTGCCAGTTGCCAGACAGCTCCCAGGAACCGAAGCCAGCAAGTCCACCTCAGCCAGGAGAGCCTCTTGGTCGCAGGGGCCACGACCTAAGAAGGAACCGCAAAGAGCAACACGGGGGAGAGACCCAGAGGTTTCCGTTCTTTCTTTGTCGTCCAAGTTCAGTGGACAAGAGTGTTTGGCAGGGCGTACCTATCTGATCAACCCTTTCCTTACACTAGCGTCCGCGGCACATCCATATGTTGGACAAAGTCCCGTCTGAATGCACATCAGCCTCTCGGTCACAGGTACAAGGAAGGAAAACTGCACAGTAAAGCAAGCACCAGGAACACAATTCCCAAGAATGCCTCAGCTGCGCTTGGGGCAGTGCCTATGGTAGGTTGCCAAGCCCGGTCTGAGCCGGTGTTAATCTCGTTAAGGACTCGCTGAAAAGCTTGCTGGACTCGCTAACACGGAATACCTGGAAGTCATGGATAATATCCCGATTCCCGTCTTGCAAAAGGGAAACATTGTGCCGCTTTCACACATGCCAAATGCGGCGTGCCTTATGTTTCACAGTCCTCAAACTAGGATGACCTCCAAGCCATGGAGTAGTAAAGGCTGTTTGTGCTCCTTTGAAGGTTGTCGAGTGACAAGATACGAAGCAGTTCCAGGCTCGCTTAAACGAGTAGTTTGTGTAAGATGAACTTTCCCACCGGACAAAATCTCGAAATGCCATTACTGTAGTAAGAGCGAGCCAAAGTCAGCAGCAACGCTTATTCTTGAGCAAGAGATATTCTTATGGGAAACAGTAGATACGTAGTGAAATCAAAATTCATATACACGTGTAGGTAGGTAAACATTGACAAAAAAGTTACCGAGCACTCTAACCAGCCTTTCCCTGTCTCGCAGAGTAACATCAAACTCCCAGCCCCTAACAAGGGTCAACAAGGCTCCCCCAGATCCCGTCCCCTTTTTGACTCTGAGAAGTGTTGCTGAGCCACGTTGTCCCACACCTTCATGCAGCACTGATGACGATGAAGTGCAGCAATTGAACCTGCCTTCTCCCAGCCCTAACGACCAACTGTCCGTCATTGCGTTGGCGGCTCCGTCACGATGCTATTTTTGATGTCAATGTTGCTTTGGTCGATGGTGGCCGTTGAATCGGGTAAGTGATGGATGATCTATCAGGACGTTGAACGCACATCCTAACTCAAAGTTTGGTTGTATGCCTAATTCTTGACTTGGGCCACATTTCATTCCAAGTAAAGTAACAAAATTTAACGTTGAAGTGGCAGCGGGAGACACCATAGATCCATAGCCGCACCTTGGTAACTTCGGCGCCTATGCTGTCTATAGCGGAGCTTGAAGCCGTGACTCGTGAGCCCCGAAGGCGTGGAAGCCATGCCGTCAAGGTGATTTAAAGTTTACTTATCTCCGCGAGGCTGTGTAACTAGGTAGGGCATTTCGGGGACCAGCAAGCCATTGTACACCTCTGCATGGATATAACTTGTTAGCGTGTTTTTTTGGTGGTGGCGAGAACTTAATATTCACACAGGAAATCTCTTGTTCCACCAGTAGTTTGCCCCTGTTTGCTGTAAGGTCAACGTACCAAGCTAACAACTTACATCCATGCAGAGGTGTACAAGCAATCCGAGAATAATGCTTGGTTTTTTTATCAACAGCTAGAGGTACATTCGCCACCTCCTCAACGGCTATCTCGATTCAACAGTGCATTACACTGTCACGACTGTCTCGACTGTACACTATGGTAAATGATTACAGAGTAGGGAATTTCAGCACCTATCATCCTGAAAAAAACAAAAAAAGGAACCAGAAGGACACACACGTGCTTGGGACGTGCCATTCGAAGGCATAACATCCTGGCCCGGCCATTGCCGATCTGGTGATCTACACGCACGTTTCACGAGTTATAAGGTGTGAAGTTAGGGTAACCTCAAGTATCTCATTGGTGGCATACAACGCCGGCATATCAACCAAATAATTACGCCAACCTACGACCTGTTGATGGTGTCGACCATGGTCTCGACCTCTATTCCCCCCGAGTTACGTAGGTGTTTTCCAGGAATATTTTGTAATAACAAAGGTATCCTCTCGAACAATGCACCTACAACCTGACATGTTACTTATGACCCAGGGGGCACTTGTATGATACAGCAGAGGAAACACATGACATTATAGTACTCATAACCCAATATTAAACTAGTGGTGACATGTATTCCTAAATGAGTCCTGCATCCAATAACCCCCTAACCATGGACACACCCTTTAGTTCCATCTCCTCTCTCCCTTGCTTGGACTTCTTCGAGGGGTTCGTGGAGGCAACACCATCCTCACATCAGGTGAGTTATCGGTATCGGTCGCATCGTCGAAGAATTGCTGACGAGCTCGCCTCGGGGTTTCGATGGGCGCAAAGATGTACGCCTGCTGGGGGTTGTGGTGAAACGCCGGGGTGTTGAAAATCGGATGAACAGGAGTAGGCGGCGGCGCTGCTACTGGTGCCGGTTCTGCATGTTTCCTCGGAGAGGATGGTCTCAATGCTCCAGAATCACGCAGGGAGCCGAATCCTACATTGGTGCCAATGATGGCCACAAGGAATGCTGATAGGATGAAGCCCTGTGTACGAGTTAGCAGTCGGTCCAAATACATGGTGCACAAGTCTCCAACTTACCCATGTTTTGTAAGATATTATGGTAAAGAACTCATTCAATATCTCGGCCATATTCCTTGCTGAGATCTGAGTCATCATCACGGTTGACGGGTCCTGGTTCATGCACGCTTCCCATTCGTTACAGGGCATCTCCAAAGCCGGTGCCCGATTTAGCTTGGGAGCGCATAGGTTTTTGTGGTAATTGCTTGTACATTGCGATATCTCGTGCATCAGGTTCGACCGAGCCTTGTCGGCGGCACGCGAGAGATCGTTTCGTACAGCCATTACGCAACTAAAGACCGCGAACAGAATGACGCCGATCAGAAACGTGTTGATAACGAATTGTAGCCACCTCGAAAGCACAGCCGGAGCAGCAGGGTATTTGCTGACGGTGTCGAGGAAGCTGGTCAACCAGCCAGGGTTTGCGTTCTTGTCTGTCGAGGACCGCCTCCTTCCTGGTCGCACTCCCTCCTCCCAATCACTATCAGATTCGTCAGATGCATGGTCGAGGCGAGATCGTACGCTTCCGACGTCACGGTCGCCGCGCTGGCGTTTGCGCTTCCTCTGCCTGCCATTTTGGAAGTATTGCCTGGTGAACATGGCCCTACCCGCTTGTAGTGGTGTGTAAGCCCTTCCCGGGATCTTGAAGCTGTCATTGAACATAGCCTCGGGGGTGTCGGGTGGCATTTCAGATATGTCCGTCATGGCGGGGCTAGCCTCGGAGGGTGATTCTGACGCCTGTTCATCGGACCGTTTCTGTGGTGTAGCAAAGGCGGGGTTTCGGAACTGGGGCGCCGTCGGCTTGTTCTGGAGTTGAGGGTTGAAAGATGTATTAGGGGGTTTAAGGGTATCTCGGTGCTCGTGGAGAATGTTGTTTCGGGGAGTAGCTGTCGGGGCTCCAAACGTGGGGTTGCTAGTCTTTGGTGTTGAACTACTGAACGAAGCTGTTGGCACAATGACGTCCTGTTAGCTAGGAGCTACAAGACCATGACGCTGGAGACGAAACTGAAGTTATGTCACCGCGGAGCAAAGTTCAACAAGAGGCGTTGGCAGGTGTGAGTTGCGTCGCATGCAGTAGAGGAGTGTGACTGACATAGTGGTTGTTGTTTGGATAGCAAAGAAGCATATGGGCTTGTGTGATCCACGGGCGGTTTGCTATCGAATTCCCATTCCATGGGCGACTCGTTTCCTCGGCGATCCATGATGGTGAGCAGTTGACGCGCGGGTCAATGTTGGTGCTTTTAGGATGTTCACATTTGCCTTAGGAGTTGAGGGTGGATAGATGGGCAGTCTTATGGTTAGTGAGAGTAAGAGGGCGGAACGACGTCAGATGAGCCACGATCTTCTGGAGGAAAGAGCTTCCAGAGTTCAGGGATAGCACGGAAGTCAGTGTCACCCAGACAAAAGTTTCGGTCGTCGGTGGCAACGGCGCGCCAAAGTAAACACTGGAATTCGGTCCCAAATAATGTGGCCCTGGTCATGACTTGCCTTCTGCTCCCTGGCTTCTGTTGCGTGCCTGCATCCACTGCAGGGAAGAAAGTTTGGGGTGGAGTGTCTTTAAGTAGGGACACCCCACAGCGTGTAAAGCCACCCCGTGCAACCACTGCAGTGACGCTGTACCGCGACAGTGACGAAGAACTGCAGCGCGGTAGATTTGCTCGTCGGACCGTGGCTAAACAGCGCACAGACCAAGCGGCCAGCCCGTTGCCTTGTCTGGGAAAGTCGATGAATTGAGACTTGAACCTTTGCCCATTTCCTAAAACAACCCAAACCGCAATTCAATCCAAAACTTTCAACCATTGACTCGTCTTCTTTTTCGCCAGGAGCTGCTGCGTCTAGAAGCAAAGCCCGCTTTCGAGATACCCGAACGATTTCTTCCACTTTGATAGCACATCAACACCCCTTCAGCAACAGCCATGTCGGACGCCGCTTCTCCGGCGGGTTCCCCTGCTGCCGAACCCACTGAGCATCGCGATGAGGACCAGGTCAACGAGACGCACCATGATGATGGAAGCAATCACGGAGCCAACAACGAGGATAACGATGGAGGCAATGACGAAGACCACCAAGATAAGGATTCCGATGTCCTGTCTGAAATCGACGAGGAGGAGTTTGGCGATGATTACGGCGCCCGGCCTGTTGACATTGACGAGAATGTGGCCATGAAGCTGAAGGCGAGGAGAAAGACGACCACAGAGACGACAAAGAAGCCAAAAGAAGGACGGAGGCCCAAGAAGCGGTCGCGTGATGACGATGATGTTGACGCTGCGGATGACGACGGTGAGCGCCGACCACGCAAGGTCCGCGCTGAGGGCGAGCGACGTGCTAGGAAGGAGGAAGAGGATCGGGCAGCACAAGCGGAAGAAAACCTCACCCCAGATGAGCGTAGACGACGCGCTTTGGAGCGCGCCATCGACGCTGCTGTCAAGAACCCCACCAAGCGCAGGCGAAAGAAGGACGATATTGTGAGGAGTCTCCCGTTGCCAATGTGCAAGGTCTGTGGTACAGGCATGCTGACCGATATCTGAACAGGACTTGGAAGAGGAGACGGACGAACAGATTGCGAACCTCAAGGTCGCCATGGAGAAGGCTTGCGTATCCGACAACGAAGCCCGCGAACAAAAGCAGCCCGCCGTGCATAAGCTCAAGCTTCTACCGCAAGTTACCGCGATTCTAAACCGGACCGCCATCCAGGACTCCGTACTCGACCCCGAAATCAACTTCCTCCAATCTGTCAGATACTTCCTGGAACCTCTGAACGACGGAAGTCTGCCCGCGTACAACATTCAGCGTGCCATTATGAGCGCGCTCATGAAGCTGCCCATCAACAAGGATGTGCTTCTGAGCAGCGGCATCGGCAAAGTGATCGTTTACTACAACAAGAGCAAGAGCCCCAGCGCGGACATCAAGCGTGATGCGGAGCGGTTGCTAGGCGAATGGAGTCGCTTGATCCTGAAGAGGACCGACGACTACAAGAAGCGTCACATCGAGATGCGTGAAATCGATGTCAGGTATGTTCCCCATTGTCCATTTCCCCCTGTTACCAAACGCTAACCCCCTTTTCTTGCACCAGTGCCGTACGAGGTCAGCGCGAAGGCGGCAGCTCCCAAGTGACGCTGACCCAGCGTCCCGCCGGCAAGTCCCGCTACGAGATTGAGCGCGAGCGTGCCCTCGCTCCCGAAGTGCGCAACAACAACCGCGCCAGGCCCGTCGGCCTTCCCGCCAGCTACACCATCGCTCCCAAGAGCACGTATATTCCGGGCCAGGCGCCCACCGATCATCGTCCCATCGGTCACAGCGGCCATGAGGCTTTCCGGAGGATGACCCAGAAGGGCAAAGGAAAGCGCTAAAATATGGATGTTTAACATCCTGGCTCCGGGTTATCGCTTGAAATTTAGTAACGACGTCACAATACGATACATACATTTTCGAAAGGGTGGGTTGGCCAGGGGCAGGTAGACATGGAGGGAATGACATGGCATGGCTGGGCTCAGTCAAAGTTTGAGGACGGTCGGAAAAAGAAATAACGGCATGGATAATAACATCGGTCTTGGTTGTGAAATAACAGAAAGATATATTTGCTGATGCTGCTGCTGCTGCTACTAGAGATGTGATTAGGCTACATGGAGGAGGGAGGACCTCTCCCTCCATACACACGAACCAAAGAACGACAGGGTTGGCTTGGTTTGTACAAAATCCATAGATTGATATAGGGGTACGTTACGTATGAGGGGAAGTTACAAGATTAATCGTTCAGCTGCACCTAACTATGTACATTCGACAACAAATTTCCCTCTACTTGTATATCTACCAACCAGTCCGGTCTGGTGGACATTCGATCGATCATATTCACCAAGTAAGAAGAGACACCTTAGCAGCCGAGTGAAACGCTTAGTTTCTACCTTCCACCGTCCAACGCCGTTCAGTTCGCACTGATTGTTTGTTATCTATTCTATCCTATCCTATTCACACCCAACTCGCAGAGAAAGTCACATAGTTGCTCTGAGTAAAAAGACATGACAAAACAATATAGGAAAAAAAGGCAAAAATGAAGGTAGGTAGGTAGGTAGGTATCTATCTGACTGATATGATCTTTCGCTTCTAAACTAAAAACAAGTTTGCCCACAACAAAAGGAAGAACAAAAACACTACGAACTTCCCCGATCGACTTCACTGCGTATCTAGAAAAGGCGAAATACTGAAAGCACAAAAAAGAAAAGGAAAAGGAGAACAATAAGCTAGCTGGCGTTCCGCTGAAACTATATGGACTCACTCGCAAGGCCACCACCTCCAGGAGGCAAAACTAACATGACATGAGATGTGCGTGGATGGACACAGCCAGACGGGTGGGTGGGAGATATATGAAAGAATGGATCGCGATGATCAATGTACCTTCCAAGTGGAAGGTTAAAGCGACAAACAGCTTGGTTGGGGATTCTCGTTCTGAACCCATAAGGTAGGTAGTAATGCGGGCGTTCTCTTCCATTTCTGTTTTTTTTCTTCTTCGGGTACGCTAGCGCGCGCGAGGCCATAACATATGGTAGTCGACAAGGCTGAATGAACAAGAAACAGAGAAAGGGAGGAAATTTCTCTAATTCAGGTATAATGAAAACCCATTTGTCTTGTCTTTATAAGCCTGCCTGCCTGCCTGCCTGCCTGCCTGCCTGCCTGCCTGACAGCGTTGCTGGTAGAATGAGCGTTTTGTTCCAACATCTCTCTGCATTATACCAACAAAGGTGAAAAAAGGAGATGATGCTCTCTCTTTCCCTCTCCAAGGTCTGTGTGTGTGTGTGTGTGTGTGTGTTTCCGCTAAAGGAGTAATAGTGGCCATATAAGCCAACCAGCTCTCCATGGTTCTTATTGCTTGTCATGTCATCTTCACCCTCCCTCCCCTCACATACCGCCCCCCCCCCTGTCCAGTGTCCATTTCCCTCGGTGACACTAGGACTAAACGACAAAAACAACAAAAAAGACATTTATCGCTTCCTAACCTCACTTGCCCAGCCCTCTATACCCTCGCCACGACTTCCAACCTCTACCTTGTCGATCTTGACGCCTTTCATGCCAGGAGTGTCCTCGAGCCAGTTGTGTCCCGCCATGCCGCCTGCGTTGGCTCGTCTCTCGGGTATCAGCTCCAACATGGGCGTAAGGAAGTCGGCAATGCGCTGAGCCTCCTCTGGCTTAAAGTGGTATTTCTCGCGCAGCACGTCTGGAAGCGCCCAATGCCTCAGGCGGTGGATGTTACGCAGCTCGCCTTTTCGGTTGAAGATCTCTTGCGACCATTTGCCGGATAGACAAAGGGACTTCGGGAAGGGGCCCATCAGCTCGATTATCTGCGCGATGTGGTCATCATCCTTGCCATACTTGGTACCCGACTGCGGGTCGAAAAGGTAGTCGCCGGTGATAAGCTCGAATACCTGTGATCCTGTATGTTAACACCTGCGCTGCATCGTTGACAGATTTAGAATTACGTACCATGGCAGCCATACTCCAGACATCCGTGCTTGCACCCCACTTGGCACCGAGAATGACCTCGGGCGACCGATATTGTCGAGTTTGGATGTCGTTGGTGAAGTGGTGGTTCACCCAGCATGCGTTTCCGAGATCTGCAATTTTGACACTGATAATGTCAAACTGCATATCGTCTACATTGCGCTTGTCTCCCGAGGTCGCAGGGGGTGTAGCTGTCTTATCTAGCGAAATCCCCGAAACCTCCTTGCTGAGAAGATCGGCGCTCTTCTCACGTCGACTTTGGTCGTCCTCCGCATTCTTGTTGTTGAACGGGTTTCCTTCTTGCGATTTGGCACCTGTTTAGATTCGATGTCAGTGAGCTGAACGTTGACGGCACAATCTAGAACTAATTCGACTGACCTTCGGCCAACATCTGACCAAGCGACTGGGGTCCAGGGGAAGGGAAAATCGATCCGTGGCTGAAGCTGGCGTTGAGGGCGAAGGCAACGGCTGACTGCCAGTAATCAAGGTCCTCCGTCTCCTGCGGCTATTCCGAGTGTTCTCCTTGTCGTTGGGCTCGTCCTTTACGACCCTCTTCACGGTCTGCTCGACGTCACCAATTTCGATCAGGACGTTTTCGGGCTTGAGATCTGTGTGGATAATGCCACATTCGCGATGCAGGTAGTCGAGACCGAGAAGGACCTGCTTTGTGATTTGTTTGACGAGCGCCATCGGAATACCCCTATGATTCCACCTCTTGATCAGGCCCAGGAGGTTCTCCCCCAAGACCTCAAAAACCATGCACACGTGGGTACCGTTGGGGCCCTTGTGTTCGAACGAGTCGAGAAGGCTGACGACATGTCTGCGACCAGGGTGATCGGGATTCGCTTGGACAATCTTATTGAGGAGCTTGATTTCGTCGATGGCGGTTTCGGTGTAATGGGCGGCGGAGCGTACCACCTTGAGGGCTACGTGTTTTCCGGTGGTGTTGTCTCTTGATAGCCAGACTGTCGAGAAATGGCCCCATCCGAGCTTGCGCACTACGGTGTATTTTCCGTCCTTAAACTTTTCGCCAATGGTGACTGGGTGGTAGCCTCCCTTGCAGTAATCCTCCTGATCCTCCTCGTCGGCAGTGTTCTCGGCGATGTCCTCTGCCGCCGAAGAGGACGAGGTTGGTGAGTTCGTCATGGCTGATGCTAAGTGTGCGGCCCTGGAGAGATACAATTGTAAGTATATGATGTTCACGATAGTCGTGTTTGCAAAGAATGCCGCGGCGATTAGGAAGGGTGGTGGGATGCGACAAGCGACGCGGAGTTGGGCTGGGGAACAAGAAGTGGCGGGGTCTTTGGTCAGGGTTGGGTGGGCTAGATCTTATTCTCCGCCGAATGCCAAACTTTCAGCAGCTTCGGGACTGGGGTTTGGGGGTGTGCACAAAGCGGAATCGCAAAAAGCGGGGGGGACCTTGTCTTGAGCATTGTCTTCATAGGTTCCATTCTGCGATGTCGTCGACTTGGTTACAACGATCGAGCCGTTGGGCGTTTTCTCTAGAGGGGGCGGGAAGGTATGGGGGGAGCCGGGCGACAGCAAAGAGGAGTTCGCGATAGAAGCAATAAGAGAAAATGGCAGTAACCTGAGTTTCTTGTTTGGGGTTGGGTTGGGGAGGAGTTGCCAGGACGTCGGCCTTGAAAAGGAGGAGCGGTATGATGCAGTCTTTTGGACTTGGAGGACGTGAGGGGGCCAGGATGGATGGCTGCGTGATGCACACAGGAAGAACCAAGGGCACCAAGAAAACCACACCGTGACCTCAACATGGAAAGTGATGCCACACCCACCCTCGAGCCAGCCACAAAAGGCTCACAGCGAGCCGAAAAGAGGTCGCGGGTCTTCCACTTGTGTGTTCCAGGTTCCAGTGTCGCTCTCCCAGGGCTCAGTCTCTCTCTTCACTCGAAGCTGCTGCCAGTGATGCACCCATGCATGTTGCGGTCATGTCTGTCGTAACTCGTAGCGCGCAAGAACCTGGCTAGACAGGATGAATCCAATGGGGACGCTTTCCCCTCCATGGACCTGGCCTACCGTACCCCGCCACTTGGCCAGCGACACGGCTGCCCGACGAACCAAAGGACGTCCAAGCCAGAGAAAAGAGAAGGCTGACACCCATTGACAGCACTGGGCTGATATGACACCAAGGGCAGCGAACGGGGCGAACGACCGACCGAACGACTGGTTTCTCGGGTCTAAAAAAAAAAAAGAGGTTCAAAATGCATGCATAAGAGGAAGCGCATGGAATGCACCTACCCGGCACCCTCTTTGGTGATTATGGGCTTCAATCCGTCCTTCCTCCTCTTGTTATTGGTATTGTTGCTGCCGTTCCTGTTCGAATTGCCGTTGGAAGCAGTCGCCGCGGGGGATGAAGCTGCCTGAGCCGAGGTTGGCGCCGTACTGTCTTTGGCTTGTTGCGATCCGTTCATTGTTGGTATGCAGGAAGCAGCAGGCTGTCGTTATCGTACACGGGCCGGAGAGCGCAGTGGAAAACGAAATCGCGATCGTTTTGTTGCTTGGTGGTGAGGAAATACAGCAGCTCGAGTGCGCGAACTTGCGAAAGGTCGGCGCCGTTAATAGCGAAGACAGGAGATGTTGATGGCTGTGGGGAAGGCCCAAAATGCGATGCGACGGCGGCTAGTAGTGGAGTGCAAGAGAGTCTCAAAATCTCACTGCCCTGCTGCTGGTCTGACGAGTCCCTTGTTAGCTCCTGATGCCTTGGGCCATTGGGTCATTAAAACAGGTTCAGGTGACGAAACGCGACTGATTCGGCGCCCAGTAACATGGGATAGAAGGGTGCAAGTAAGGTTAAAGTCGATGGGGCAACGGAAGAGGATCGAGGCCGCGACTTGTCGCCTGAGGTCGTGGTGTGTCGTGCGCATATCAAAACCCCAATCAATTGCTGCGGCAATCGAATAAATTGTTTGCGCCAGTCAACGGTTCTCGTCGTCGGTCCTCCATCCGATGGCCCTGGCTAGAAACGAAGATGATGGGTGCGTATGGACGGATCGCGCAGTGGCGGATTTTGAAGCCAAGACAGCGTGAGGCAGTAGAGCACCCCGCGCCTCTTTGAAAATCCGCGCCAAGCAACAATGATAGCTTATGACTAACCTGGAGAGAGATGCCTGTGGTCTTTGGTGGTCTTTGATGGTCTTTGGTTGTTCCAGAAGTCTGAATGGAATCAATCGCTGGTCCTGGCAGTATGTAGTCGAATCTAAAGGTAGTCGGAACAAACAAACAGATGACAATGCCGTTCGGTATGGATACAGTGGATTGTTGTCGTACTTCAAAACACCAGTTGGGCTGGGGTTCTAGGGGCCTATAGATGGGGCAAGGGTTTCTTGGCTTGCGATAAAGGGAAAGAGAGGTAATCGTTATGCTTGGTGTCGAAAGGTTAGGTTAGGTGTGTCGGGTGGTTGGCCAGAGGGATTTCAAGATTCCCCGTATCTGTCGACAGAATCACTCACGATCAGAAGTGGAAGAAAGAAGTTGTAAGAAAAAAGACAGAGCTTGATTTCGCGCGCAGCGTGACAAGGACGTCATCTCTAGTAATAGCCGCTGCAGACACTCAGCTGCAGTGCCGCCGTAGGACGGGAAATGTGCCTTGCCTTGCACGTTTGCGATCACCTTTTCCACCCGCAGGCTGCCCGGGATATGTAGGTACCTGGACTGCTATAGCAGGGCGGTTGATAGTCCCGTCGCAAGAAAGAGTTCCCATTGTTTGGTTTCGACGTCGGGTGTCCGTAACCAACTGCTAGGTCAAACCGTTGCGGTACGTACTCGTTGTATAAATACCGTATTGTGCAATGCGCCGGGAGGGGCTGAAGGAGAATGGTATCAATGTTGGGTATAAGCCAAGTCGCATAGAGATGGCTCGCGAAAAGTTACCTGTTAGCATTGTCAATTTCTTTTAAAAGGCTGGTGCAAGATAGGCTATGCGATGCAATTGTCCTCAAATGTCCAACGTGCTGGAGCAGAGCAGAAGCAGGACGCAAAGACGAAATTGGGAACTTGAGATGGAAACACACATGGAGAAAAAAGTCAGATTGCGCCTCCGATGTTAGGGATTGCCACTGGAAAATAAGCCATGTACCTCACAAGGTTTGGCAAGGAATCAAGTCGTGCCTGGCGAGTCCAACGTGACTGCCCTGATATCTCTGATCTCTGTGAGAGGGGCTCGAGGGTTCCTTCTCCAGGGGCTGTGCACGATCCCGTCAGTCCCCGTATCATCAGCCAATCTTCCCATGTCGTCGCATGGAACAGAGGAGGAACGAAGTCATCGTCCAATCCTCAACCGTCAACTCCCGCTCACGGTCTCACCAGAGGCAGCGGGCAAGAGCGATGAGGTGCAGGAGGCCCTCGGGGCGGGGTTAGCGACGACGGGATCTACTGCTGCGAAGCAGAAGTCTTGCAGCTGGCACGGGGCTCATGTTCCAGGTTGTCACAGCTGTCCGTCATCTGTTTCACACCAGCCCGATCCTTTTTCTTCCGTTGCGACACCATTGTCGTCGACGACATCCGCTAGCATTACCTAGTAGCTAGTACCAACCCTTGGAGATCGAGCCGCCCAAGAGGACGGGACGGAACTTGAACATGTTGATAGGTAGATTGTTTACAGGCTGGCTTTGTTTTCCATCCCGTAGCTGGCTCTTTCCTTTCACCTCTCACCTTTGAAATGACGGATGGGAACCCTGCCGTTCGAGATGCATTATGTACATTAACAAACAACGACATACCTGGTTGGCATGCCGTCGTCTGGAAGCTACTCTTTTTATATCTCGTCCCTCGAGGCCGCCGGAAGGAAACCCTTGAAACTATTCATATTCTTATACTTGTGGATATCAAAAGTCCACGGTACATATTCTCTTCATTGTCCACTACCGTACAGTAGACGGGTATCACAGTGTTCATCTCATTCACATTCACTCATAACAACCATACATGACATGACTTTCAAGGATGGAACCTGCTAGCATCTGATGCGGCCGGGCAGGGCACCAGGGGCACCTAACCCAACCCCAACCAACCCCTTCTTCTCCTCCCCCCACTCTGCTTGGCAGGCCCCCCTGCACCCCGCGGTGCCGTTCGCTGATATCAGTGGTCGGTCAGTGCTTGTTGTCCAGCTGCCCGTTCCAGGCTGAATCAGGGTTGCCAACCTTTTTTCTTAAAAAGGACCATCCTGACCTGACCTGACGGCCCCATCTGCATTCTTTCGTCATATATCCATCCCCTTCTCGGGGTCGTGAGTAGTCAACCTCTCCAAGTCCCCCAATGAATGGCCGATTGAGTCAACTTTCAAGACTCGTCTGCGTTTCATTCGGCTGGCGAACTTCAACCTCTCCAATCATATGGGCCTTCAGATCGGCCGCGACCTGGGTTCGTTTTGCCAGCATTTTCGTGCGCTCATATATGCGTATGTATAGGTAGGAATAGCTGGAAAGCGCCAGCCAGTGATGGATGCTTGGTAGGTTTTCGAAATGACCTTGCCCTAGGATGTGCAACTTGCCAAGTCGCTTCGAGACCGGCCAGGTACACTTTGAGACAGCGCAGAACTGCATCAGCCTCGGACACAGCCCTTTCTGTCGGGTTTGTATCGGTTGTGCTTCTGCAATGAAAGCTCGGGATTTAAGCTTTCTCGGCTGTTCCCCAGACCCCGTTTACCCAACGAATCTCCCAGCCGTCCGGCCGGAATCGGGGCATGAACACCAGGTGTTTTCTCTCGATGGCTGCATCCGTATGTATCGTCTTCGAGAGTTTGTGAGACTCTTGAAATGTTACTCGGGTTGCGAAAACCGTTGCCGACAAACGGTACGCATTCACCTCCCTCTGGGAAGCCTCCGGGTACTTGAACCGTATACGTACAGCGTTATGTCTCCTTCTGCAATAGGATCCCATCTTCGAAGTACCCTGGCCAACGATGGTTTTTGGAGTTTTAGCTGCCGACATAGCTGTCGGCAATCATGACCCTGGACATGGATTTGTAGGATTGCGGTGCGTCTCGTCCAAGTTCGAATGGATTGTTTTTCGTACCAAGGCCCGCTCGCGCCATCCTTATCTCTCCAGCTGAGAGGAGTTTTTATCGTCGAGTTGATCTATGTATCCCTCCGGGGTGTGTGACTGATACGATCGCCGCTGGGTGTTGTTCCTTATTCTTTCTATCATGTGACGTCTGCCTTCAGCCTTTTGCTGACCTACAATGTTTCATCTCGAATCGGTTGTCTAGCGGTCTTGCGGATTCTCGCTCGATATTTGTTTCGAGCGACCGGCCCATCGTGCTGCTGCTTGCCGGTGGTATCGCCAGGATGCTTTGGTCGCTTCTGTTCTCGTACTTTCGTTCGTTCCAGTCGGATCGCGCTCGGCGTGCTGATGCTCCTGCCGATCTTTCGCTTTCGACAACTACATCGATGCTCGCCCGCTCTGGGGTTTTGAAGGCATGAAGGAACAGAGCCCTGAGGGTGGGTATTGAGGCAGCCATAATGGTGCAGGCCCCCTCGGCGAAGGCCCAAACTACCAGAAGGAATCCCTCGTCTGTTCATAAGATTAGCAGGATTGCACACCGAGGATCGGGGGCTCGTGTATGGGGAAAGGAAAACTGACAGTTGAAGTCTTTACTCTCCATGCGGCTGATTGTCGACACCTTGACAAAGCCTGCGATTCCAGCACTATGATGTTCATTGTCCATTAACCAGAGGTCCGGTAAACTTTCCATATTCCCAGTGGTGGTGGCTTTTCACCTACAAGATCCCCATGCTCATGGCCACAGCCACGCCAATCTTTTCACCTCGGTACATGTGGAATCGCAAAAGGATTCGCCACGGTAGAATTGCAAGCACGATGTCACACAAGGCCGAGTAAACTAGAGAGGATGGGCCAATGGTGGTCAGTAAAGCTTTGGGTGGAATGGCGTTTTTGGGTCAGATACTCACTTCCGCCAGCAATCGAGTACGTAAGGAAAGCATTGGAGTCCCAGCATTTCTTCTCCTTGATATGGGGGTTCCATGTGGCCTCGGCGGGTGTACACCTGAGCCAGAACATAAAGGAACTGCTCATCTGGCCTAACGTTAAAGTGATGATAATAAACCATATCAGTTGCCTCAACCAGCCATCCGTGAGTCGAAGAAGCGTCACGGCAAAGGATACTTTGCTAAAAAACACGTGGAGAACCGATGTAGTGCCAGTGATAGCGCCCAGAATACCCAGATACTTCCAGTTTTCCACGGGAACATCATAGCTGTGCATTCCGTATCCCATCAAGACGGTGGTGGTGACAACAGCGGTGCTTGTGAGCAGTAGCGCCTTTGTGATAAAACTGTGTCAGCTCTATTCACGTGGGAAAAAATGTTCCTGAATACTAATAATCACCGGTTGGATGTCGGATAGATACAAGGGGAACTGAGGCAGAAAAGATGAAGTGGAAGGAAATATTGACAAGTGGCATACCCAAGCAATTATCAACAAGTGATCATCCCACCAAAGGCTGCGGCCACGAATGACCTTGCAGTACAAGCGAAGACCTACGAAGGCAGTGCAGGCGGCTTGAACACTCCAGAATATGGCCAATAATTTCGCTCCCTGAGGATTGGAAGACGGAGGAACGTAAACTGACATCGCTCAGCGGCTTTGAAGGAGTCCGTTGAAGCATAGGAAGGTAGAAAGGGTGCCGATGAAGACTACTAGCAAGCGAAAGGGTCAAGGATGGCCCAGCGCACGGAGTCTCGCTGTCGACAGGAACGAGAAGATTCGTTAATGATTTGTTATTGGAATCGAGGCAGTAGATCCACGATGTTAGACATCTCCAAGAAGTGAATATACCGTCGTTTAGAGCTTCGAAGGAACATATGTCCGCTCTTGTCGAGATGTATATGTTTCTTGCTATTCGTTGAACTGTCGTCAAGTGAAAAATCGCAATCAAGCTGTCAAGCAAGAGCTGTTGTCCCAGGGCGTCGAAGCCGGAGTGTTTTTGGTTGTGTTGCTGTCCAGAGTTTATGGAAGCGGAGTAGGTGGTGGTGGTGGGTGGTGGTGGCCAGAGTGTTAGTCTCGATGGTCGTGGGTTGAGTGAGAAATGTTGAACCCAAGAGTGGAGAGATCTAAGATGAGATAAAATCCGGAGAACAACGTTATCCGCGTCCTTCGTAACTTGGATGTTTGCCAGCCAGCTCAAACTGGGGAGACAAAATAGGAAGAAAAACACGATCAAAACAAGCGGCTAGGAAGAACGAGTGTGCCTGACGTTAAAGACCGGGATTTGACCGTTCATCAACCGCTGGGTCCAAGCCCAGGGTATGGTGTTATTTTTTATCTTGTCCACAGCGGCTTGACTTGACTTGTCCAGGCCCAGGACTCCAGCCTACACCTGTCTGCCCCCCTGGCCTAGCTTGGTCCGACCTAGATCTCTCGAGGCCCTCTGCTTGGGGTTGGGGGCTTGCTTCCGCCCATCAACGCCCACCGGCCACCATCATGCACTTGCCTGGGTGCCTGACCATTCTCGCCAACGTTTCTCGATGCGAGCGAGTTACGGAACGGAGCGGGGTGGGTACAACAGTCTAAACCAGACGAAAAAAAAGAAAGAAAAACGGCCGCTGAATGATTCCCTGGTGTCCCTGGTGTCCCACTCCGCCCTCGGGGCTGGAGACACAAGCGATGCTCTTCTGTACACAATCCACGCCACCGCGGACGTCTCTAACTCGTCTTGTCGTTAGTGACCGCATTTCTAGCGCTCGCTCGCTTTTGCTTGTTGCCTGCGAGCAATTCGCCAAGGACGAAACCTAAGCTTTTTGCTCGAGCCATGTTGGTCGTCCCCAATCTCGAGGCTCTGGCAGCCAATGGGATCTTCCGCACTCCTGACCGGGACTACCCACTTGGGATATGGGCGACTGACTGTCAGTGTCAAGTGCTGGGAACTTCCGTGCGCGTACCTAGACAACGACCCGTCTTGCGCACAAATGCCCCCGTCTCATGTTCTTTGGGAACTCATCTCAATCGCAACTTGCTCCTCCCAGTGAGTGGGATGGGACGGGACGGGTTTTGGACGGCGAAATAGAAACGTGGAATGATGTCAAGGTGTAATTTAGCCTAGGCCCGCCATCGCCGTGCACGTCCAAAACAAATGTCTCCGGCGTACTGGGAGGAGATCCGGAGTTAGCTTCGTAGTGGTGTAGGGCAGCCTGAGATAGCGATACTCCCTCGTGGTGATGACAGACACAGCTACCGGTAAACGACTTTGGGAAATTGGAAGATGGGGTCGCTGAATGGCAGAATAGAATACGAGTGGTCGGGAGTTCTGATAGAATTTCTGCCGTCTCAGGTGCGCAACAATTGACATCGATCTTTCTGCCCGTCTGCAACTTCAAATGCAAGCGCATTATTGACTGCGCAGGAAAAGGATTGACAAGGAGATCTGTGTGTTCCGCTAGTGGTCCGGGCCGAGCTCTGCAGTTTGAGTCACTACCATACCCAAGCAGAAAGCAAACTGCTGGAAGGCATGAAAATGGAAGGATCAACTGAGAAAGCAAAATTATAGAAGGCGCCGTCCAGCCGCGCGGCACATCCCACCACGAAGGATTTGGATCTTTTGTTGCAGGAAAATGATGAATGCTCCCGCTGGGCACCCGATGGACGAGACACAACATTTGCTGATTCTGTCACGGAGATTAGGTTGTGGCGGGCGGTGATCTCGTCGAATGTCGCTGCCACATTGAGACGAATGTCGATAGACGAGGTTGGACTAGTGATGGTCGGTGGAGGAAATTGGGTTTAGCACAGCTCGGTGTTGAAGTTCACCGAGGTCCCCCGGCCGGTCGGCGGTCAGTGCGTCCGTTACTGTTACTTAGTAGTAAACATCGGGCCGTGGTACCGGCTGCCGTCTCCTCTCCAATTTCACGAGCAAGGGTCAAACACGGAAAGCACATCGTCGGAGAAGCACGCCATTCTTTTTATACCTACAACGCCGAAATCTTGTTGGTACAGTATCAGCGGCTCTATCAATTCACACAACTATATACACAAATGTGAACGGAAACGACAAAGAGCCTCAGCTCTGAACCAGCTGAAAGTTCAATTAGACCCCAACCACAGCGGGGCACGGTGATTAAAACCACGCCATAGATGGAGCTGGAGCCCTGATCGCTTCTGCGTAGGGCTGACGTTGAGGTATACTCGAAGGTACCTCTACTCCAACCCGCAAACTGTTGGCCCCTGATGAACATTGGAACCCGCTCCGCGGCACCTTCTCCAGTGGAAGCCAAGGCCTAGGGGGAAGTGGAAGGAAGGCACGACAGCCTCAACACCTCGATGGCCTGGCGCTCTGGCAAAAATACGGCAAGTACAACCACAACACTCAAACAAGATGATGCCGTCCGATTTCAAAAGACACTGATCACCTCCCCCCACCCTCGCTTTTGTTCCTTGTTGAATCGACACAATGATCCCAACCAACAATTCCTGAAGTCAACCACACAACACGTCGCGTGATTACCGACAGGTACCGACTGACCACACTGACTTCTACAGCAACGAAAAAGGAAAAAGGAAAAAGGAAAAAAGAGGGAAAAAAAAAAGGACAAAAGGGCTGGCTTTGTCCGGATTTCCAGTGCTCTACACCATTCAACTGCATCAGCAATGCTCATAAAAACGGGGAATCAATTTTCACCCGATGATTCAAGCCATGTATTGACTTTAACAAGATAACCACCACCACAATCTTCAGTGTTCTCGCGCACATTCAGGTTGGCGACGGGGGCGTCAATAATAGCGGACCGGATCGACGCCTTCCCGGCACCCATTTTCTCGTCTTCTGGCGCCTCTGACGATCCTGCTTTGCTTTCCTTGATGTTGCTCTCCTGGAAGATGAATGGGTCGTTCTTCTTCTGAACGACGTGGGAGCTGGACGGCAGAGTCAGGGTATCGGATCTTTAGCCCGACGCATCGTCGTCGCTGTTATCGCCTTCATCTTCGCCGTCGCCGCCATCGTCATCCTCTTGCTCCTCATCGTCGTCCTCCTCATCTTCCTCCTCGTCACCGCTCTCTCCGCCACTTTCACTTGCCGATTCCTGGTGCTGGCCGTCGTTGTCATCTCCCATTGGCAAATATCCCGAAGCTGAGCCGTGCATTGGCGCCACCATGAAGCTGCTATGGGTGTGACTCGTGGGAACTGGCCCAGGCTGTTGAGACGCGAATTGTTGAAGAAAGCCCGGATGTATCGGTGGGTCTCTCGACCTTGCTTCCGCTGTGGACCTGTAGGGTGAGAGTTTTCTGATCTTACCTACTCCCGAAGGTCCCGCCTGAATGCCTTCGTCGCCGGTGACTTCAAAGGGCCGCTTTCTGTTCTCAACGCTGGTGCCCATGGTCTGCTGCTGCTGCTCCTCTTGATGTTGCTGTTGCTGTTGCCATGCCATAAAAGCAGGGTGAACAAGAGGCGCAGGAGCCGACCCGAGGTCATCCATCACTGCTGAGGATATTTTGACGGCCTCTGATGCACGTGTTAAAGCGCTTGATGCGAAGCTCAGTAGTTCATCGAGTTGAACCTTTGAAGGCGATCGGCCGCCATTCTGTGCGTCCTCCACCCAGCCCCGGATGTAACTGAAGGACCGTTCCGCTGCTTTGAGCTCGGCGGTGAAATACTCTTGCTGGGACCACTGCTCCAGCTCTTGACACCTTACTACTACACTTGGCGGGAAAGGTGTGGCCTTGCTGGTATTGCTCGTCGAAGGGCGAGACTGGGTCGGCTTTTCTCTCTGCGGCTTCGGGAGTTTCTGTTTCTTTTCCTTAGGAGCAGGGGCAGGCTTAGGCTTATCCTCGATCCCGGCCATCTTTTTCACCTCAGGTGGTACTCCTGGCTCCCTGACGACGACTTCGTCATGAGCATCGTCCTCGGCCGCGTTCCAGAAGCCGTCCAAAGGCCAAGAATCCGCCAATTTTCGATTAGCCAGGTACCATCTCGCTAACCGCTCGTGCATCGTCTTTGGGACCTGGTGAAGTCGAGGGTAAACTGAAGCAAACCCAGTCATTTCACGCTGGGTTAGATCCACATCCTCAGGCTCGATCCTCGGCTTCCGACCGAATTTCCTTGTGACGGCGAGCACAGGATACTGCTCTGAAGGCGGCATGTAAGGGAAATACACAAATCCTTGGTGATGGATTCGGAACGCCTCTGAGCGATTCGTACGCGTCATGGTGAAAGATTGCTGGTGTCCGTGATGTGCAGGCGATTTGCTGGAAGATACCGGATTATGAGTTATTAAAGGACGAAGTGACCGCGACGGAATATGGTGAGTGTGTGATTTGAACTGGGTCAGTCGCGTGAAGTTGGTCTGGCGGGAGTCAAACCAGTTGAAGCGCGCTGAGGCTGGTTGGTTGGGTGGTTGGTTGACGCGTTCAGACCACGATTCTGAATTGTGTTGGTGATATTTATTTTTTCAGGGAAGGAAAAATGTTAAACCGCATCCGAGGGACACGTAATATGGGACATCGAGTTTCAAGTGTGCTTCTGTTGTTGGTTGAGCGGGGAAAACACCCTTTCTTGTATTGTCATTCACCTCTATCGACGTCGTCAGTCGTGTAACGGGCGATTGTTTGGATGTGGCCGCCGAACCTTAGTGCCCTACGGTTCAGGTCCGATAGCCCATCGAAATGGGACGAAACAAACGCCAAGGTGAGAGTTTTTTTTTATTAAAAGGCGGGGTCCGCAGGCAGCGTGGTCTGCTGGCAACATATAAGATATGTCGGGAGATGCTATTCCTCGTGTCTGATGATGAGCCGGAACGAAGACGAAGACTGTCGACGATGAAAGTTGTAGGGCGGTCTGGGAGACTTGACATACTGGGTGGCGAACTAACGATGACCACGAACAGACAAGGTGCGATGCCGTAAGTCAGTCCATTCTTATTCGGCTTAGACAGAGAGTAAGGGGTTTCTAACATCGTACAAGTAGTTTGACGTCGTGTGCGAAAGTTCTCGGATTGCCGACTATTGAGTGCAGTCAGTCATCACTCTGTTTGCTCGTTAGTCATGGTGAGTCCGGTTGATCAGAATGGCCCTTACCTTTATGCGCTCTCCATTCAGTGCGCTATCAATCACAAAGCGGAGTGGAATTCACCAAATAAGACGAGTCTTTCGCATGTCGTTGTTTTCACGATGTGAGTTTGGGAGAGTTCGACGCAGGTGATGTCGGGAAAACTCCCGCTACGATGGCCCGTGGGTACACAGCATCCATGCAGTGCATGAGCACCAGAGGCTCAAACTGCCGGGTCCCCCAACACCAACTTGAAGGTATCTCAACCCCAACCATCTGATTTTCATTCACAAGAGCTTGATTATGTACAGACAAACATCACTTACTCATGGACTTCACATTGTCTTCATGGCTCGTTGTTTTTATTTTTCATTCGTCGAGTGTCTTCGCAGACCCCACAGCCTGCTGCACTTCGGCCACCGTTACCTGGCTCGCTCATGACAAAATTGTTGACAGCCCAGTAGTCACGACCAAATCAGCCAGAATGCCACAAAGCCACCACAAATATTGTTTCCTTATTGGCCAAATGTCGCGAATACTGCAGGAGTGTATGGACTTAGGAAAGCGCCCTAACTGGGCATCAGATATAATAAAAATTGTTGGCTTTGGTAAGGGTTTCGTGGTATTTGGAAGTACAGGTAATGATAGCTGGACTGTCAACATTTTTGTCATGGGCGAGCCTGGCCCAAGATTGACAATGACCCCTCCGAATGTTTCACCGCGTTTCGGTCTATGGTCTGTTATCATTCAACACTTTCTCTCTAAATCGCAGAAAATTTTCTGTCCAGACTCGTCTTCACAATTAAGACTATGGTTCCACAACCGCTGAGGTTGCACTGGCTGCCGGAGGGACTTGGACTTTAGGTTAAGCGGCTTCGCTTACGCTTCATTTACCATGCCTTTCTTATTGGTCTAATCAACATCTGAAATCAAAGGTCGACATCCATAGTTGTGTGAAGACTGGGATCCATCTAGCTCCTCACCATCGAGGTGGCCAAATGGCCACCCCGTCGCCATTGCACCGGTGCTCATCAGGGCTCCAGAAACGGGGGATGGAATATACTCTATGACCTTCCCTCCCGGTTGTTTGGTTGACATGCATGTCTACCGACGGCACGGTTCCGGCAGCATCACCCTCCACCGTCCTATATCGCCATCCCGAGATTTGTCGCTGCGGGTAGCTTTATGCTCGCCAATATACACAAAGCCAGACGCATGGTGGCTTGTCCTGGTACTTGGCTGACAAGCCTCGTAACAGAACCGGACACGATTTTTTCCTGCAGGTCCTTTGCAGTTCCCCGTCGAAACTGCAAGCTAAATGCTGACGACGCCCCGTCCGAGCTAACTTTATTTGTTTGACGAAGGGGACATTACCTTCTGCTACTCCATACTAACCGCTAACTCTTTGGACTCATGGGACTCGGGAAAGGTTGAACGGGGGCTTAAGTGAAAACCGAAAGACTTTTTTTTGGAGGTGCTGTGTTGACGTTGGGCCTATATAAGCCCTTGGTCCTCTCCAGGCTCCTGGAACACCAAGCACCATGCCAATTCGCTCCCTCCCTCTCAGCCCAGGCCTTTCACTCCATCCATGGCTCGGTCACTTCTGTTCTTCTTGCTTATCGCGTCGTCACTGGTTGGTGCGATTTGCAAAGATGATGTACACAAGTTGCAACAGAAAGGCAGAGCGAACCTAGAACATCGGCTTGCCAAGTCCAAAACATGCACAAAAAAGAATCTTCGGGTTCGACGGGAATGGTAAGAGAAACCCAAAAGGCAGAAACTCTTAAGTTGAAGCTGACCTTTGCTACACAACATAGGGGTGACATCTCAAAGAAGGAGCGCAGAGAGTACATTGCTGCTATGTTGTGCTTGATGTCTAGACCATCTCGCCTGGACCAAACAGAGTATCCTGGAGCCAAAACACGCTACGACGACTTTGTCGCTGTTCACATCAACCAGACTTTGGCCATTCATGGAACTGTTAGTATTGATGTCGAAGCCACTTGGACCTCACACGGACTAACCGTTCTTTAGGGAAGCTTTCTTGCGTGGCATCGCTATTTCACCTGGTCGTTCGAAAGAGTTATTCGTGAAGAATGTGGATACACTGGAACCCAGCCGGTAAGTGATACATTACAACTCTAGATAGTCTGCCTATTGGCCATGGTCACTTTGCTAACATACCTTGACAGTATTGGAACTGGGGCAAGTGGGCATCTGATCCGGCAAAATCTCCTCTGTTCGACGGTAGCGATACTAGCTTCAGCGGCAATGGAGCGATGATAGATCATGAAGATACCGATTACTACCCAGCTGGGCCCGGAGGGGGGTGTATCCATTCTGGTCCTTTCGTCAACATGACGGTCCGCCTAGGCCCCCTCTCTCCCCAAGCTAATCCCGCTCCGGCCCCGAACCCGCTTTCCAACGGTATGGGCGATAACCCGCGCTGTGTCCGCCGCGATATCACCAACTATCTTTCCTCGCGCTTCACTCGCACCGAAGACATGGTGGTCCTAATCACCAACTCCACCGACATACTCACCTTCCAAGACCGCATGCAGGCTGTGAACACGCGTCCTTGGGACCTCGAAAAGACTTACAACCCAGCCGAGCACAACGGGATGCCGCTCTTCGGCGTCCATGCCGGCGGACATCACACCATTGGCGGCGACCCCGGAGGCGACTTCTTCACTAGTCCTAATGATCCGGCGTTTTATGCTCACCATTCGGGCATTGATCGGACGTGGGCAATCTGGCAGTGGCTGGACTTGGAGAACCGGACCGAGCAGATTGCTGGAGGCACTTTTATGTTTGATCCGGTGAACAGTCCGAGGCAGACGTTGGATGATGTCGTGGATTTGGGAGTGGTGGGGAACAAGGTGTGGAGGATTAGGGATTTGGTTAGCACGGTTGATGGTCCCTTTTGTTATACTTATGAGTAGGTGGAAGGAGTGAGTGATGGTCGGGTTCTGGGATGGTGTGGATTCCAGTGGTGGGCGGATGATGAGAGGAAGAAACGAGGGGCTCGACAAGACAATGTATGGTAAGCTCTTCAGTTGTTCCTTCCGCCTTTAAAATTAAGCAATCTGCATTCGAGTTCTTCCCATCCATTATTCATTCTGCTTCACCACTCTTCTTCATCTGTCGAACATTGCTTTCCCACTTCAATTTTTGCGCACAACGCATCCCTTACGACTGCCGCCCAAGAGCACAACCGACATCATCACCCGATCTTGAACAACAAATCATTCGACAAATTCATTGTAATTCATTGTCCGAAAGGGGAAACCATTCCGCTTCAGACCGGATCTCATGCTCAACACACGATGGACGTGACGCAGTCGGTCTCAAACCGCCGAGGTCCTCGGGGTTCTTTTACCTTATCTCACTTGCCGCCCTCATCATGGTTGAACAGTATCACTTAGGTAAGGTCCTCTCCAGTTTCCCACGTTCTGTTTGTGTTGTACGTGGTCGCCGACCATAACAGGTACGTCAAAACCTCTTGGCTTTTCTGCGAAACCCAACATTTTGGTATGGACACATCGGTTGACACCGTATTCGCGATTATAGGTCCCCAAATAAACGTGACCATGGCACCGGAAGCATCACTTCTTGCACCAGCAATTGTCCAGATTCGCGCAAGAGGATCCTGTCCAGCTACGGCATCCAAATCAAAACCCGAGACTGCGATGAGGCTGGTGTATGTATGTACCCTCCCGCCCGGAGCCCCAAAGGAGCAGAAGCCAAGTTAAGAAAATAGGAACACGAGACACAATGCAGGGAGCTTCTTTGTGGTAGTCTAATTGTGACCCTTTGCCCCCGTCGCAGGCATCCTCATTTACCGTTTCACAGCATCCATCGCCTCCAGTTCCTCCCCTTCAGAGTGCAATAAACGTTCAAACGGCCGGGAGAGACGAAAGAAATGGGCCTGCATTTGTGTTACTCGCCAGCCCTACGAGCCCGGCACCTCATGAGACAGGCGGGTAGAACCAGCCCAAGTTCTGCAGGGAAACACCCCAAGCATCTGAAGCAGTGAGGGATCCCTATCAGCCAGCTCTCGTCGCGTGTTCCATCGTGGGGGAGGCTCGACATTGGACTAAAACACGGAATTAAGCAACCATATGGGGTATTCGGTGACTGCCTCAACAGTTGCCGACCTTGTGCTTACCACAGCAATTGAGGCCGGCAATGATATCAATTTGGGGATAATTGGCCCTAATGAGATAGCTTGTTTCAAGGGCATCATATCTTGTTCTTCAGGTCGCCGTTGTTGTCTCATGGCACTCTCGATGTGGCTGGCTCGGCTTCGGCTGTCCTCCCCACAGGATCGAGGGTAGATGCTGCAAGTACGGGAGCGAAAAGGCAGTGAATTAGTTAGGGTCACCGCCACTCCGGATCAAGATTCCCTTCTCGTCATGCGAATTTGGGTTCCTGAGAGCTTTTACGTTGAACAACAGGCGGCCCAGTGGAAGCACCGCCGGAAGGTTCATAGGCTTTTCTTCCCGTCGGTTCGTTGCGTTACACGACATGAGCCAAGCCCCCCTCCCACATGCCTCCGCCTCATTTTGTGTACTTTCTCTCCTGACTCTTGCGCGCAAGATACATTTCCAAACAGCCAGAGGCCGTCCCGAGTCTATACCGCCGTTGAAACCCGGAGCGTCAAGCACACGGCCGGGGACCATCGAGCTTCACTTAGTGGTCTTCTCACGGGATCATCCCTTCTTGACCAATGGGAGCTTACTCGGTCGCTCTAATTGGAATATCCGGCTGCCTGGGGCATTCTCATGTCGCACCTTGTTATCGAGGTAGTACGTTAACGTGCCAGACCGGTTTCGACATTGACGCTGGAGCTCTGAATGGCCCAAGAACCTCAGAAACTATACAAAGACAACAGCTTGTTGACGTGAGCAATGACCATGTAACTACCCGTGGAACATTATGGCACTGCTTGTTGGCTAGATTCCAAGCTAACGCTCGGTAGCGGATCTACTCAAGGGTACTACCAGACAAGTGGGATGGAATGACTTTACCTGCGACTCCAGACGTAACGGCGATGCCGTATGGCGACGGGCAACGACACGAGAAGCGGGCGTGGGGATGGTCTATAGGGCTGCATATCCAGGAGCTGGGATCTTGTTGAAGGATGAGATGTGTTCACCCTCTGGCAGACACCAATGGGGCTAGGTAGCTTGGTGTTGTTGCGGCGATCTATCATGGACTTCGTGTCACTTACACAAGGGGGTGACTAATTCTCACCACTTGACCGGCCGGAGCCTTTCGCTTCATGGGGGCAGCTGAGCTTCATATGAACACAAGAAGCTCGCCTCCTCATATAAGTATATGTTCTCGGCGAACCTTCCTCTCATGCCACTCACCGATTCCTTCACCATCACCTAACATATCACAAGATACAACATCAATGTCATCAAAACAATAACAGCATATTGTCATATCACCACTATGTCAAGCATATCCCAGTTCCTCATGTACTCATCACGCAATGCTTCTCCCTGCCCTCAAGCCGAGCCTAAGCCACGGCAAGTTTGGACAGCGGATGAGGATAGATTGCTCGCTGAAGCCGTTGCAAAGGGTAAGAGTCTCGTGAGCCCAAAACCAAATATTGCCTTCTACCAGTTTGCTAATCTTGTTTTTCTTTGATTCAACAGAAACTCCAGCGAGTGGCTCAATCAACTGGTGCAAAGTCGCCCTCCATCTCTCGCGGCGCAACAACAAGGACTGCCGAAAACGCTGGCACTACAACTTCGCCCACAATATTCGCAAGGGCACCTGGACCAGAGAGGAAGACCAAAGGCTGCGTGAGGCCTTTGATATTTACGGCCCACGCTGGAGCGAGGTAGCCAAAAAGGGTGTTGAATCACGCAACGGTGATCAATGCTGGAAGAGATGGTATGACTGCCTCGACCCCATGATCAATAGGACTCCGTGGACGCCAGAAGAGGTAACCTTTCTCATCATTCAATAACCCATAGACCTTGACTAACCAAAGCACATCCAGGATATCCTCCTCCTTCAGATGGTCTCTCAAAAAGGCCGCAGTTGGACGGAGATTGTCAAGACCCAGTTCCCTACACGCACTTCTCTATCTGCCAAAAATAGATTTTTGATTCTTCGTCGTAGACAGGAATCCGCTGCTTCTCCTTCTTCTGCTTCCTCACCTGCTTCATCAACATCTCACTCCAGGTCGTCAACTCCCAACTGCAGGCCCACCGTTACTAGCAGGACGAACAGGAGGACCACAAAAATAACAGCGAGTCCTAGTCCACTGTTGATGACTACAAGCCAACCACAATACCTCTCACCCACACCACCACCACCAACCTCAAACCAACTCACCCCCGAGCTTGGACATTGCTTTACTCCCTCTCCGCTTTCGCTATCAGACAGTACCGAGTCTACAATTTCTTCTCAGCATGGATTCGGTCTAGGTCTTCTCCTTCCTCCTTCAGCTATGTCGATGGCTACGTCCCCATTCCCGGCAGCCACAACCACAGCCACAGCCACAACAACGGCAGATGCCGCCGCCGGTTTTGATCTAATGTCTTTTGACAACAACGTGTATAACTTCACGCAAAGTTGCAACTGGACTTATACACCTGATATGATGATGGTATCAGCGGCCGCGCCCACGTTTGGCAACGCCATGAGCTATACCACCTCGAATGTGTCACCTTTCCCATCAGTGTCAGCGTCGTCAGCGTCGTCAGCGTCGTCATCGTCGTTCTCCTCGTCAGCAGCTTCGCCGCCATCACTATCGTTGAACGGGCTTTACATCATGCCTGTTGTTGATCAGGGGTTGAACTTCAATGATCAGCAGCATGTACCTGTAACGACTACGCAAGTACAAGCACAGGCGCAACAGCAACAGCAACAGCAACAGTTTGAGTTCCTTGTCCAAACGCCCACGCCGACGGGGACGGGAACTGGAGCCCCGGTCGGGTATGCGAATTGGTAAGGTAATCGCTGGCAGTCTGCAGGTGTTAACAAAATGTAATGATAGATGATAGATTGAGCATTGAATGTGTACATTTATCCATTTTTTGGTAATCGGAGTTGTTGTGGCTTAGGTTATGGTAGGCAATCTGGAGATTTGCACGGCGGCGGTTTGAGGACATGCTTTTTTTTTTCTGCATTTGGTTTTTTCTGACCTACCTACCTTACTTATCAGTTTGATGTAGACCATCACTCACTCACTCACTTACTCAGCAGAACTGGCGGGCGTCGCGGTATTTCTGGTAGGGGATCGTATCATAACCATATATGGTACACGGGAAACAGAACTAACTGGCTTGTGGAATCGATTACTATTAGGAGTTTCAGAGCTTGGTTTTTATCTTTAGTTTCTCCTTTGCTATGAATGCTTAATTGTGAACCAACACTTACTAGGTAGTTCAACATATTCACTCTCCCAATGCATGTGATGTCAAGGGCTTTTTTTTTCGTTTATCTTTTTCTTTTTCTTTCTTTTTCTTTTTCTGTACGATACAATACTAGTTTATTTGTTGTCTCAGTACACCTATCATACCGGACCAGATCTATCCCAAACTGTCCTGAACCTTATAATGATAGTATTTAATGGCTAAGTAGAATTTGAAAGGCATTGATGAAAGTCAGGAGAGTGTATGTAATATAAAATTACGCTTTTGATATGGGACAAAAGGGATCAATTAGGCATGTAAATGCCTAGGAAGAATGACCGGAGGTCTTGAGCTAACGAACGAACCAGTATTGGAATATATACTACATGTTACAGTACAGGAGCTTTATCTCTGAGCTTCCGGTATTGAGGCGGCGTTAAGAGCAGGTTGCGATTGTCGGCTTTCAATTGTTATTTGATGTAGACCATCACTCAACCAAACTGACATCGGGAGTCATACAGACGGGAAACACACCACAGGCTTGTGGATCGATCGAATACCTTTAGGATTCTTTGAACCTGCTCTTAATTTTTATTTTGATATGAAGTCCATTATGTATGTTGAGCGTTGGCAGTTTTGGGTGCAAGAATGTTCAATGTTTACATAGTGTTGAGCACAGGCGCTGCTTTTAGCTTTCTTGGTTCTTTGATGTAGACCATTAATCACCCAACACAAAAACGGTGTTGCCAGCTGGGGCCTTTTTTCCTCCTCCTTTTCTGTTCCTCTTTTTCCTGTTCCTCTTTTTCCTGTTCCTCTTTTTCCTGTTCCTTTTATTCTGTTTTTTTGTCTTCATTTCTTTTGGTTCCTCATTTTAAGTATTCTCAGTTTTCCTTCTCTCCCCTTCTCCCCCCTTGTACAAACCATCCATCATCAAAATTCTCATCACGGATCTGTAAACGAGAAACATTCCGGGTTTGTGTACTGGATACGCGTAAAAGTGTTGGAAGAACTTGATCTTCATTTTCAATTACTACGCTATGAAGTCCAATCTTCAAGACAACGCTTGCTTCCGTCACTGCTATAAACAAGGATCCCTTGACACTCTTACATGACTGGACATGATGCCTTTGCCAGCCCCTTCTCCAGACGCTTTCTGATCATCTCATCGCTAATCCTTCCAGAATCCCCTTGGAAACCCTTGTATAAGCACTGAAACTCAACAAGCTCCTCATCATCAAACGCCTTGGCGGCAACCTCTATCGCCTTTTTCGTCCCAGGCACATCCAGTCTTCGTGATAAAAGACGGAGCACTAATTCCTGACGCATGCCTGCCAAGGTTTTCACTCCTCCTGCTTCATTTCCACCACCTCCACTCTCCTTTGCGTTTTCATCCTCCTTTGCGGGCGGGTCTCCATATATTTTAAGGAACAACGGGTCCCTCGCAGCGGCCAGTTCTCCTTCAATGTGCTCCAGCACACGGTTCGCCCGGCTAGTAATCCATAAGCGGTCCATAGCGTCAGGGCATCGACTGCCATGTAGGCCAAGGGTGACATCGGCCTTGAGCAGTTCCAGAACATCCCGGAGGCTCACCATAATCTTGCTGTTACCCGGTCCTTCGAGCATCGTTCCGGGCACCAGTTCTTTCAGCTCGAAACCGACGGCCTGTATTCCATCCATAACTGCCTTTGCGCGGCCTCGACTCCCTTTGATGATATATTCAACATCATTGCTTGAGCCCTGCCCTTTGACCTGGACGACCCGTCTCTTCTTGTTCTCGGTAATGTCCACCATAAGTCTCTGCAGATTTGCTAAGCATCCGAGTTGCTCGGTTCTGTAGCCTTCCTTGACCAGACGTTCAAACGTTGAAAGCGGAAGTGGGTTGTGAAGGCTCTGTAAGGCATTGGATAAAGCCTGCTCGTAGTGTCCACTGTCTTGTAGTGTCTTCGCCTCCTTAGACAATAAGGAGTCAAAATATGTCTCCAAGAAGGTAATTGACCGAGAAGACTGCATCAAGTATCCTTCACGAACTAACATATTGTGCAAATGTACCAGGAGTACAGGCTCGCGGTAGAAACCAAGGTAGGAGACATCGTTGATAGAGTAGGTCCAAACGTTGATAGAATGGGACTCCCACAGGGCCTGCACGTAAATTTCAGCGCAATAGTTCGGCGAGCAACCACACAAGAATGTTTTGCCCGTGCCTTGGTTGTGTTTTCCCGATTGAAACTCTTTCGCAGCAAAGCAAACTTCAAACGCCTTCCCTAGGTAATGCTGCGGGATCTCAAGCTGCGGGATCCCTTCAGCGACTTCGTTGGCAGAGTCATCAAGCTTGACTCCCGCGAACAGCGCCAAATCACGCGCAGGTAAGAAGACATTGGCAGAAGGCGGTTGGACAAAAATAGGCCCCCGGATAGGATCATATAGCCAACCCCTTGACGCAGTAAAAGAATCCACCATGAGCTGCAGTAAGAAGACTTCGGTAGGCTCAATGCTCCATTTGATTGAGTCACCGGTGGGCGAGGTCTTTCCCATAGCAAGGTTGGCGATACTGGGCAAAGAAAGTGCTAGCTCATCAAGCGAGTAAAGAAGCTTGATGGTATAAAGATGACGCCACCGTAGGTATTCTTCCTCCGTAAGCCCCGTTAGGTCGATGTTGGGATCCCAGTTCTGGAGAAGATTTGCCATACGTTCAGTGGGCTTTCCGTCCTGTGTGGCGTGGAAGTGGGAAATGAACTCCACGATGGATTCGAACGTGTATATCATGAACATCTCCTTTACCTCCACATGCCTTTGAAACTTTTCTGAGCATGAGCCGTCACGACGAACTCGATAAGCGGACACAGGAAAGGGTTGAACATAGGACTTCGAATTTTGATAATCCGTGAAATATCGGATCATGTTGATGTAATGTAATCTTTCAGGAGTCGTGTCGACATAGTATTTATTGACCAGGTTGATGGCCGCAAAGCTAACTGCGACGGCCACGGCGCTGTTCAGGCCGTCGTAGATGACCTCTTTCCAGGTATCGTTGAGAAACTTTCTGAGGCGCACGAACTCCTTGAACAGGTCGTACACTGCCAAACCCGAAAAGTTCCCGTTGGTGTTGAGAATGCCGTCATAATAGGCAGGTATGCCGATGTCAAAGTGATGTAACGGCAAGTCATCAGGTGGGAGAATCGCTTTGAACTTGTAGAATTCGGCTTCAACTTCTGCGTTAGACTTGTCCTGACGTTCCGTCCGGTCTTCCACGACGCGGATGGGGAATTCGTCGGGGACCAGAGAATTTATATCTTCTTCGCTTCCTGGTATGACATCGCTCGAAATGGACGAGGTAATTCGATCTGCAAGGGGCGCTTCCGTCGAACGGAAGCCTCTGAGGGCGTTGAAGGCCTTCCACAAAGTGCGTATATCAGCCCCAAAGGCATTGAGCTCCGCGGTGTTCTCGGCACGTGGGAGCCTGGCTGTGAGTGCCTTCCATGTGGTAAAAGCAGCGAGTTTTGTGTTGATGACATGCAGAAACAGGACAGCAATCGACGGGGGAACGAAATCGATATGGGCGCCGATGAACTTGCAGAAGCCGACGAGTCTGGCCCAGGTGAAAAATCCGGCTCGGGCTGGATCGGCTTGTAGCTCTTTCGATCCTTCATGCTCCGGTAGACCAGCTTTGAGTTCGTCCAACAATTGCAGGAGACAATCAGGCCGAGTCTTATGGCAATGTTTGAGGATTGAATGGGCAGTGCGGGAAATCCAATAGAGAAGAAGTTTTGAATTGTGCTGGTGAGCTAGATATGATCCGGGGGGCGCGTACTGTATATCCCTGGTGGGCGGCATTGTGGAGATAATAAGCTCGATGATGTAAACTGGAAGAACGGCTGCTGATTTGGACAAGATACTGCGTAGGGTGAAATATGCAAGCGTATGATGATATGATGATTTGATGGGTAATTTGCTGGGTGATTTGCAGAAGTGTTCAGGACAGGTGTTCGTGAGAGATATCTGGCGAAACCTTGGAGAACAGAAAGCAGACGCAATGTCATTATCCGTAGCTTCCGTCGAAGTCTCACGAGTCACATGCCCGCACAACCTAACGATTTGGTCCCTTTTAGTTCAATAGCAAGAACAAACAAGCTGGGGGGATATCTGCAGGGACCAAGAGGAAAAAGCGCGATCCTTACAGGAGGAAGGCACTATAGGAAAAAGCCGCAGGAAGCAGCTCAACAGCGAAGTTCACCATCAATGAAACCGGCAAGAAGCATCAAACCCAAAATTATGCATGTCGGAAAGGGGAGGATAGGATTACGAAAGAAACTCAAAGAGGCCCAAGCCAAGCGTGCTGTTGACAAGAAGTACTGAAAAGGTCAAAATGGGGGCGAGGGTGCTTCAAGATCAGAGAGAATATATCAAATTCATGATGTCCCTTCATCCGTACGCCATGCCCTGACCGTTCTTCAAAGACAACCCGAGCTTTTAAATGCTTTCCCTATCAAGATGGAGCAAAATGCGCCTGGGAACAAAAGGGAAGAAACAGAACATGCGACCAAAACCCAGTACCCAGAAAAACTTCCATCACATACCGTTGCCGGATGATTCCCTTAAACTCATAAACGCCGATTCCTTTCCCCAAATAGATCATGGTTTCCTTCAAATGCGTGTCGTTTGCTTCGTGTAGGCGAAGAGCCAGCTCTTCAAGCGGTACCGTGCGTCTTTGCTTCGCGCCGCGGCGAGTAAAGTCGGAACTGGACGAAGATAACGAAATCTTCCAGCATCGTACCGAGCGAGCCCAGAAGCCAAGGGAGTGCTCTGACAACATAGTCTCTCTGTTGAGAGTAGGCGATCACGCTTGCTCCATAGGTGAAGTTGCCCGTCAGTGAGAGCAGGAAGAACAACAGGGCAAGGCCTTCGCAAGACTTCTCACGGTAATTCTTGATGATCTGAGGGATTCGAGCGCTATGGCATTGGTTAGCTTCCTAAACCGAACGGTCACACCAAATGGATGGGCTGAAACAACCGGGTTAGGTACGTACCACAAGTAACAAGCGGCGCTGAAATAGCCGAAAATCATACCAATAACGGCCTGTGGCTCCCTCGAAACCGTATTGTCTCCGCTATCGGGTAACCCATCCTCAACGTCCCACGCACCCATCTTATAGCTGATGAACCAGCCTGCAGCACCAACAACCCAGATTAGGGTTAGGGTTAGGGTATTGTGCAGCCATGGATTGCTGTCAGGAGTCTCGTCTTCGCCTGTAACGATCCTAGTCAATGGGTCGAGAGTGCTTTCCCTGCGCCGCGCCGAGTGTCGACGGTGAGAGCCCGGCAAGCCAGCGGAATCACTACGCGACCGACGTCGGTGTTGATGGTGATGGTCATGGTCGAGCAATGGGTCGTGTTCCTCTACAGCCGTTGTATCGGTCTCGTGTGTCTCGGTAGAGGGATGTCGTGCAGTTCGGTGGCGTGCGTTGACAGCGTTATAATAACTACATTGACTGATCAAAACCAGATCGGCGAAGCAGAAATAAACGGCGAGTGCTATGGTGCTTGGTGCCAAACTTGTCCAGAGTGCGCCTGTTTCGAACAAGATGTAGTCAGCAGCCGAATGGATTGGCAATACTGTGGTACACCTTTAGGATATCCAATGACATCGAAGGCGGGTACGGTAGGTTGGCCGCCACTTACCAGACAGATTCGCTATATCGCCCAGCAGCCATATGATGAGGAAGTTCATGGACAAGCCATCAGCGCTCTTGGCTTTGTAGTTTGTAATCAGTTGCGGCAGCTGGTATTGAGGACAGCAGTTAGCATCATGATACAAACTGGCAATGGCAGGCCGAAAGAAGGGAAAGCAGCAAGTAGTGTAGATGCTCACCAAAAGACATATCCAGGCCGTCAAGCTGACACTTCCAAACACCCCCGAGAGTGCCTCGCCCACATCGGGCGCCTTGAAAAGGGCTTCCATCTCGCAACACGGATACGGAAACCAGCGAGTTCTCGAGCAGTTGATGGCGGCAAGAATGGAACGTTGAATGGACAGCCAAATGTTGTTCGTTTGTATTCTAGGCCAGGTAGAGCCCTGCTCAAATGCCGAAACGGAAGGAGGCTAGCCAGCCGAAAACAGTCGATGTTGTTATCTTGTTTTGTTGAGCACACAGGAAGAATAAGTAGAACCAGAGCAGGTCAAAGGATAGCAAGGAGCCTGGAAGTAACAGTTGCAAAATAAAATAGAAAGAGTCAGAGACAATTCGAGTCAGCAGGTCTCGTTATCAAGAGGCGGGTGACTCCAGAGATAAGGCAAGACCTGGATGTGGCCGATACCGAAAATGGCATAACGTAGCTGTCCAAGTGCCATTCAAAAAAATGTCACGAGTGTCACGGTATGATCCGTGCTGCAGACTCGTAGTACCAAGATGATACGTCGTCCTGCGCAAGCGTAGCGTTCAGTTCGCAGCTTTTTCCAGCGGCTTTGCTTTGGTATTTTTTTTTTCTTTCCCCTTTCGCTTGTCACCGTTCCGGTGTGTGCAGTGGTTGGAGTAGGACCGTTTTGAGGCACCTTGACGGGAAGGCACGATTGCATCACAAGGAGCCCTGATCCCCTGCAGCTTCGCTGAGACCGCCTGCCTCTCGTTCGCTCAGCTCTGGCCCATTCCAATCCTGGTGCTGTGATGGAGAAATATGGGGAAAATGGGGTCTTTGACAGCTCAGGTCGCCTGAGATGGGCCAATCATTCCAGCTGCCGTCCAACCAGTGATGAGCAATTGAAAACCTCTTTGTGGGAGTCCCCTCTTTTTGCGCGGCACGGGTGAGGACTTGTCATCATGCCTCGACCTCCTCGCATTTGTACTTGGTAGTTGCGACTTTGCAAGCCGCTCCTGCATCGCTTGTATCAGACTTGCTGCAGGAACTCGAGCCAAAAATACCAGATGCTCGTAGAATGGAAGGAGAAGAAAAAAAAAACAGGAACTAAACGAGAAATACAACTGAAGAGTGTCTTGAGAGAAACAACCACTGACAAGTGACAATACTCACAAGCCACTTCAAACGGCAAAGTGTTGCACCAGAGTGATAGGCTCACGTGGGATTTATCGCCCGCGTTCATTCGCTGCCGTAGCAACACCTTCGCGTGCTTGGAGGAGTCTATTGATCGGCTATGGTATGGCCCAAGCTGATGGCGTCGGTACCGATGATGACGCCGCTGGGAAAGGGCGGTATCGATATGGATGCTTATCGCTCTCGGACCCCAGGGCGGTGCGCAGCTGATCGACGGGGAGACATCAAGTGAGCTGAGCGCGTGTTTAGACAAGACAACCCTTTCCAAACGGAAACCATTCAAGATTTGTTTGTTTGCTTTGGTTGTGTCACCAATTGTTTTCCTGCCGGTAGCGTTGCGAATCTTGTACAGCGCATCACCGTCTTATCCAGAAGTAACACAAAACGAACAACACCATAATGAAGGTATCAACAGTCACGATAGGCTCCTCCGCCTTCTTAGCCGGAGGCGCTTCAGCATGGGGAGGTACGTGACGGAAACACAGAATTCTCCTTCCTTAACCTCTTTCTCCCCCCATATTGCGCAAAGAATCGCAGATGGATCATCACTAACACACAGCCCACCACATCACCAGGCTTCGGACACATCACCGTCGCCTACCTGGCCTCCAATTTCGTCTCTAACACCACCGCCGCCTACTTCCAAACCCTCCTGCGCAACGACACCACCGACTACCTGGCCAACGTAGCCACCTGGGCCGACTCGATCCGGTACACCAAATGGGGCCGGTGGACGGGTCCCCTGCACTACATCGACGCGAAGGACTCCCCGCCGCATTCGTGCGGCATCGTATACGAGCGCGACTGCAAGCCCGAGGGCTGCGTGGTCAGCGCCATCCAGAACTACACCTCGCGCGTGCTGGACCAGTCCCTGCACGTGGTCGAGCGCGCGCAGGCGGCCAAGTTCGTGATCCATTTCGTGGGCGACATCCACCAGCCGCTGCACACGGAGGACGTGGAAAAGGGCGGGAACGGGATATCAGTGTTCTTCGACGACAAGAGGTTTAATCTGCATCATGTGTGGGACTCCAGCATTGCGGAGAAGATTGTTACCCATAAGAAGCATGGTGTTGGCAGAAGGCCGTTTCCCGCGGCGAAGAAGTGGGCGGAGCAGCTGGCGGAGGAGATTAGAGAGGGCCAGTATAAGGCGAACAGTAGTGAGTGGGTGAAGGGCTTGGAGCTGAAGAGCGCGAGCGAGATTGCGCTGGAGTGGGCGGTGGAGGGGAATGCGCATGTTTGTACTGTTGGTAAGTTTTGTCCTCTCTGTTTCCGTGTCTCGTTTTGTCTGTTGGGGAACCATCACCTAACCTTGTCTCGCGTCGCTAGTCCTCCCCGAAGGCCCCGAAGCCATCCGTGACCAGGAGCTCGGCGGTGCGTACTTCGAAGCCGCCGCCCCCGTCGTCGAATTGCAGATCGCAAAGGCCGGCTATCGCCTGGCTGCCTGGCTGGACCTCGTCGTTACGGCTATTAGCAAGAACGAGACAATTAGCCCACCAACCCTACCAATCCACAAGCCGGATGACGCCGCTAACGTCGCCGGCAACATTCCCGTTGCGGAACAAAAGCCCATGGGAATGATGTTGGGCGGCGACCTATAGAGCAGGCCCGGTGGAGGGCGTTTCTGTTTCTAGTCGGTCTTGGCGTTGGAAAGAGTATGATTCACGATCATGATGAGTGTTTCACATATGCATCGTTGCAGCGGTTCGTTTGGGTAGAGATATCGGATTTTTTTGGATGGGCAATTCTTGTGATGTTTTGGATACAGAATTAGACGCCTTGGTAATGGTTAATGTCTTGTTTTGAGATACACTTGGGCGGGCAAAGGCGGTAAAGACGGCAAAGAGGTTGTTGGTCTCGAAATGCATGTCCATATCTGCAACTATTTGCATCATGTAGGTCCAAGGTATGCTAGGTGGTCTTCTTCACATGTATGTACGTATGTAAAGTGTACATTAACGCACGCACCTGAGATTCCCCCCTAAGCGTCAGTTTGGTCTTTACCATACATGTCGGATGTCAACGGTCGGGAGTTGACTGTCCTCTGTGATATGGCAAACGATAATCAACCAGCCCCTACCATACTAATCAAATGAACATCGCCAAACAGCAACGTTTTAACCATCCCTCATGCTCATGTTGGTCACCATTACCCCATTTCCTGCCAAGTCGGCCAAATATCCTGTTGACCCTGTGGGTGGCCATGTTTCGTTCTTGATTAATCCTTCCGTCCAGCCAAGCGGTTTACTCCATTGAAAAGGGACCTGAAGACTTTACAGGATCGTCGATGCTGTGTCAAGTCCTACGCGGGGGAGCCGAGTTCCCGATGTCCTGGGGGACTAGAAAGTCCCTAAGAAGCCTTTCAAAGGACGAACCGAATTGAGAATTCCGTCAGAGTCGGCCGGGGAGAAGTGATCACCATTCCGTCGACGTTGATGCCGTTACCATATCTGTTGTTGGTTAGAGATGGGTTTGAAACAGTTGGGGATTGATTGGGTGCGCTGCACAGCATCGGCTCGGCAACGGCATCACAATTTCAGGAGGTTGTTGAAGTTTCATTGTGGTTGTTTCTTCATCGTAACAAATACGGTAGAATGGACATGATGGGAAAGGAGAACGACATTCAGATATGAAGGAAGCCTGCCTGCACGTGAGGATTTGTATGTAAAGTCCCACTTGGCTCGAGCGGTGTAGTACGTATTCAAACGCCATGGTAAAAGATATTGAGGGTTTAAAGAGTGAAGGGTATTGTGACCCTCTGGGGTGGTGACGTGTCTCAGGATGAACATGGGCCGAGACAGATCCTTGTTGCGAATCGGTCTTGGATAAAGATTTGCCAGTTCAGCAGTATGTTTCGAGTCGTGAGACCCGGAGACAGATGGTAGCCTAATTGTCAGCAGCACAGACGGTGAGCGTGTGAATTCTGCTGAAGAGAAGGTTGGATTGTCGATCCATTTCCTGAATCGACCCACGAGGAGGACTTGACCTCAATTATAACATGGGAAGAATGCCTTGTTGACATGAAATTCTTCCACTTGCCGAAGACGAGAGTGCCGTCTTAACCGTACTGTCGGGTGAGAATAAGGCTGGGCGCTACCTCATACATCATGCGGCTCATCGTTTCCAATGAAGAAACAAGCATATGGATATGGTGCGGTCTGAAAGTTGGCCTTGACCTAGAGGAGTCCTGTTTGAGTGGACAATATGGCAATTTTGTTCTATGTTGAGAAACTCGATGTGGAGAACATCATGCTCGATCCTGCGTTGTGTCCACCGTCTGCTGTTCTTGAGGAATTAGTGCGGCCTCGCAGCGCAAAGTGCCATCATGAGAGCGAATGGAGAACAATGGAGAGTTCTTATTGTGGTCGTTGACGGGGATCGAGCGGAGTCCGGAGGGAGGGATCGATGTCCTTGTTCTAAAAATTAAGCTCTCGTTCCTGCATGCGGAGGCGTCCACAAGGGACGCTAGCCCAGAAACAGTGGGGTATCCCCAGAGGGCAAGCGCCAAGGGGGCCTGTTAACGACAACTTCAAGCGCTGCAGACATTGGGCGTGGCTAGCGCAGTCATTCAGATGGATGAGGCCGATCTCATTGGAACTCACTTTGATCTCCAGATTGGTTAGCTATGAGATGAACAAATAGGGAGCGTATGACGTCGATGTTTACTCGGATGCTTACCTCAGAGATCAGTGGCAGTCTTCTCTGGAGCAAAATTTTGCTTAAGATTTGGCTTGAGAGATCGGCCGTTGTGCCCCTGTAGCCTTGGATTCAAAGTCGTGGGATTGTTTCCCATAGCTCATTGACTACGGAGAAGAATAAGGGCCTGCGGAAGGGATTAAAGAGATGAGGTGGTGATAGTTAGTCCGGCACGGAGTTTCCGAGGTGGTTACCAAGAAGAAGCCGAACGCCGAACGAGGTCGAGGTCGGCAACAAGACGGAGGCAGAAAAACCGGATGTCGGCTGAAATCCGCATCGGCCAAGAGAAAAACATTCTGTCTCGTCGGGTATATTTTGTTTCGTGCGAGTACCTCCACCGGTTCCTCGTGATGCAGGAGCTTCCACCAGGAGTCCTGGGCTGGCCTTGGCCCGATACAAAAGCCATTATTGAAGCGTATTCGGCTGCCGTGGGAAGTTTCTTCTAGACAGACATCGGTGCCTTGTGTTGTAGTGTCGTGTTGTGTTGATGCTGCATGTGCCTGACGGTAATGTTGGGAACTCCTTGTCCAGGTATGAACCGGTTGTGCTAGCACGGATAGACACGGAGAAAGGGTGAAGAGGTGGAAGGGTGAAGTTGTTGCAGAAGTGGAACGCCAAATGCTGGATCGCCCATTACCGGCCCATGTGATTGGCTGAAAGTAAGACGAAACACAAGTCGCTTCATCAACCTCACCTCTTCTCCTTCCACTGCACACTTGCTCTTTGCTTTTCTCCCTAGACACTTATCAACGTTACTCCGTGTCCGTCATTTACGATTGAAATGATTGACTCAACCGCTTCAATGGCATTTGCTCTCCGCTATCCAGACTTCATTTGAGATGTGCATCCACTTTTCTAATTGCTGTTGGTGGCGGTCGTTGACTCGTATTGGGCTTTAGGAATCTCCATCAAGCGCGATATCTGGCGTCAGTATCACCAAGGGGAACCCTCGGTCGTTCTACGAATGGCTTTTGTGCCAAGCGCGAAATACCCATGTCCAAGTTAGACGCATCCAAGGATGTCCATCCAGTCGGTTTGACGTTCGGCAGCCCCTTTCTATGCTACGCTACACACTATTGCTACCTTCTTCGACAGTCCGGCGCAAGATGCCCTCCCCTTGTGGTACCCTTGTATCACGTTTGAGATCGTGGAGACACACAACCCCCAAACCCCCCTCCGTCCGTTCCGACCTCCTGCCGCCCAATCCATGATGCAGTGTGGTACTGATTCCGCGGGCAGAGAACGGCTATACAGAGAGCTCGGTTGACAGACTGGGGGAGGGCTATCCAGGGCAGATTCCTACCCTAGCCAGAGCACCCTATCGTGGTCTCGTGGAAAGAAACTTCTTGGCTAGCCAGGATATTAGAAACGATGACCTTGGCTTGATGCCTCAGCATGCCCAGCTTTCTATATTACTCCTCCAGTTCTCCCTTCTTTTGCCTTCCATGCTCTATTTTTGCTGGTTGTGGTGGTAGCGTGTTTCTTTCATTCGTTCCTTTTCGACGCACGTTGTATAAACCCAATTAGCCGACACCGGGTGTCAGTCATTCATTCTCTTCTCGCAGTCAGCTTTGATATTACGGTCTGGAACCATTTCAACGCTTTACGTCTTACGACTTTACTTCGACTCCCGTGCGCTCCAGGAGCCTGGTTATATCCTTCCGAAAATCCCTACCGAAATCGATCTTCTGCAGCAAAGCTTCAATATCAACCGTCAACATGCTTGTGAAGACTGCTCTCACTGCCCTCTTGGGCTTGGCCATGGTCTCCGACGCAGCTATTATTCCCAATACCGACTCCTCATCACTCGAGCGAAGACAACCCAACAAGAAGTTCAACAATAATCGTGCCCAGTTCAACGGTCAGTTTGGCGGCAACGGCCAATTTAATGGAAATGCTGGCAACAATGGTCAGAATGGGAATGCCAATAGGGGAGGCAACAACCAAGCCGCCGCCAACACCTGTCTCGCTGCGGGCGCCATTCAGACGGGTTCTGCATCAACGGGTCAGAGCGGTGCTACAGCGGCGGATGGCCAGGTGAACTCCAAGACGTATGTTGAAAGCAATACCATGCGTACTACTGTGGTATTCTTACTAACCTCCTGACAGAGATAATGCCAACTTCATCAACTTCTGCAATGGCCAGACCTTGACGAACGGTCTACAAGTCAAGACTGGTTCCTGCAACGGCATCCGTACGTGGACTCCCTTGAGACATCAAGACACCGACTAACAGCTTTACAGCCATGGGCAAGATCCCTTCCACCGACCGGATGGTTTCCACCGTTGTCCTCTTCCCCAAGAACAACGACAATATTGCAGCCGACCAGACCTTCACCATCCAGGTCAAACTGAACAACATTGCGCTAGGTTCCTTCACCAACGCTACCAGCACCTACTACTCAGCTCCTCAGGATCTCGACGGCACTGGTAGAGTTATTGGCCACACCCACGTCACCGTTCAGGACACCGGCAACACACTGAACCCCACCGAGCCGCTCGATGCCCGCCAGTTCGTCTTCTTCAAGGGCATCAACGATGCTGGCAACGGAGCGGGTACTCTGTCGACCGACGTGACGGGCGGTCTCCCTGCGGGCAACTATCGTATCTGCACCATGACCTCGGCGGCCAACCATCAGCCTGTCCTCATGCCCGTTGCGCAGAGAGGTTCCCAGGAGGATTGCCGGTACTTTACCGTTTCCGCCACGGCGGCGGCGGCGGCGGTGGTCCACTGACAAGACCCTCAGATAGCATGGACTGCAACCTCTCTGAACAAGAACGATAAGAAACAAACTTCCACTGACAAGACCCTCAGATAGCATGGACTGCAACCTCTCTAACAACAACAACAACAACAACAACGGCGGTAACAACAACAACAACGGAGGTAACAACAACAACGGAGGTAACAACAACAACGGTGGCAACAACAACAACGGTGGCAACAACAACAACAACCAGAACAAGAACGCAGGCAACAACAACGCCGCCAACGGCCAAGCCATCGCCGGCATCACCGCCCCCGCTGTTACCGACTCCGGAGACGGCTCACGCCCCTTCGCCGTGAATGGTGCTACTTTCGTCAACAAGGCCGCCGCCGTCCAGCGCGCCTGCGCGATCCAGAACAACGCT